TATCATTTTTCTCAAAAATGAAGCTGAAGTACAATAACAATATCCAATGCCCGGCAAAATTCTAACTTGTCACATTTCAAATAATAACCAGAAATATAAAACTACTCTCGAGTTGGGTAAATACCACAATTTTGCGGTGATAATCTATGACATATAACAGCTGATTCGTGACGTCACGGATCTTATAACCAAACTGATAACTACACTCGCTTGAACGGATTAGTAAATACCAACCCAAAATGGTAAATACCATTTCCATTTGGTTATCCGCTTGAATTTGATTATACATATTCAAAGACATGTCGGATTACAGGGGGGGGGCGGATTATCGGGGGTTCACTGTATAAACAACGACATAACCTTAAAAAGTTTTAAAACATTATTACTGTCCTAATATTACTTACTTGAAAAATAAATTAATACAAATCTAGTCAAAGCCACGTTTTTAAAGTCAAATATTGTAGTTAAAGCTCTTATTTTCTCCTGGAAAATGACAAAAAATACTAACAGAAAAATCCTTATGGGAATTCACCGTTATAAATAACCACTGACGTCTTACCCATATAGATATAGACGATATAGACCCTGCAACCTGCAAGTCATTCATAAGTCCGCCGTTTGTTATGTTTAGTTCACGAACCTCAGTGGCGGGAAATACCAACATTCATTCATAATTTTATCAAATTGACCCAGAGACTACTAAAGAATATTCTTTAGTAGTCTGTGAATTGACCCCAGGCTTGGAACAGCATAAGGCTAACTACGGAATTCCCACCATAGACGTATCACAATGTAGTCCATGAAGGGCTATAAAAGCCAATAAATTTCTCAGTATATTGGAGGTACAAAAAACGTCTTTCTTGTAGGTATACTATTATTAAGGTGACCATAGGTCCCACTTTCGGACTCTGTCCTGTTCCTGACAAAAGCCTGGCGACATAAAAATGTCCCTCTTTTCGGTCGTGGTGTCTCCAACAAAAAGCATGCAACCCCCCCTTCCCCCCCGCTCTTCATACATATAATCATCGGCCATGAATGCACAACATGAAATGTGGTTACACATTGTAGTTTCATTTTATGATTATAAACAAAAATAGCAAAATGTGTGTCTTATGTGGTAGGTACAAGACCCCAATATTTAAGAAATAAAACACAGTAAATACCTACTTAAAAAAATGTTTATTTGATGGTTTACAAAATATTTTATATGGAGATCAAAGAATGCAAAATAAAATTTTCTTGACATTCTTAATAGGAAATGTGTCAACAAAAAATAAACCTAACAATTGTAAATATTGGATATCACACCAGCACAAGTTATGTTAACAATAAGCAGTTGACAATGAACATTGCAGGGATTTGAAAATGTGCAAAATATCAAAATGTTTAAGTAGACTCGTATAAAAAGGTCAAACAATTTTTTAGTAACTCTGCCTTTTCCGTAGCAGATAATCCAGCAAAAAAAAAAGTAGCCAACAGGAATTTTCCAGGATCCATTAAGACATACCAACATAAATATAAGTACATCCTTTGCTTCAGGTAGCATATCTGAATCAATATTTGCCCCAATATCAGCATACCCAGTGAATTTGGTTCCTGTCCACTCAATTTGTTGTTGAATTGACATTTCATCTAAAACCAAATTGCACAGAACATGTGAACCCTTTGCATCTGCTTGTCGCTTTAGAATTTTTAGAGTTTCCAAGGCTTCCTGTGTGAACCCAGGAGAACCATTAACACGTTAACTGCCACCTGCACCGCCCGCTGTCAACTGTCATATTACCTGAAGCGCCAAACAAAATATACGGCGTATTAGGAAAATGTCTTTGTTGTTTTGTTGATTATACATCAAGCTGTCGTCCTCAAACTAAGCCCTACATAACATATTTTTGATTGGCTGAACGATTTAGTAATTATTTTTTGTTGGTAGCCGGCTATGCAGGTGGCGTACATGTAAAGTTGGTATTTAATATTTGCCATTTGTACCGCCGGCGAACCTGCATTATCCCCCCTACAAAGCATGAAACGCATAGGATTTATAGGAGCGAGCGGCGGTAGCGACAGTACGGTTACCAAAGCGTCAGCGGCAGCTTGTTTGGACAAGTTTTTTTTTTGAAATAATTTATTTAAACACAATAATACAAAAAGTATAACCAGTTTTAACAATAATTCCCTAATCAGTGTTTGCAAACACTGCCCCCGAGAATAACAAGACAATAATTAATATCTATGAACTACAGGTACACTGCAATGTTGCTCATAATTTCAACAAATAAATTCATTAACATTTTTACAATCTTTCAATTCTCTAACAAAACTTCTATAGTTATTTGAATCTTTTATACAATGAGGTAAATTATTAAATTTCTTAATTGCGTCTGTGATCGGATTTTTTAAACCTATGTTAGTTCTTGTGGAAATTTGATAAACATTATTTAGTGATCTTGTTTGTGATCATGCACGTTATGGTAGAACCTAATATTTATGTTACTTTTTAGTAGATTATTTATAATTTTATAAACAAGCTTACATTGTTCCACCTCCAATAACACTCTTAATTTGTTTAAATTTAAATTTGAATAAAGTGTATTAGAACTTGTAAGCCAATCAAAATTAAACAATATTTTCAGAACTTTATTTTGTAAAACTTGAGCTTTATTAAAATTAACTTCACCGCACATACCCCATACTGGCAAGAGGTACCTAAAATGTGTAAGAAAGAAGGCATTATAAATTTGAAATTTGCTTTTGTTGGACAAATAATCTCGACTCTTATATAAAGGCGGACTCCCATTACTCGTGTATTTGGCAAATATTTGTCACTGGCCTATATTTGCCATGTAGTGGGAGTGGTTCACTCGGCCATTACTTGTACAATTATTTGCAGCTGGAGAAGTCCCGCAGGTTGTCGGTAAAAATACCGCGAGTCAAAGCATTTTCAATTATTTGCGTATTTGACAAGTTTATACTTGTCGATGCGCTCCCACTACTTGCCGGCTCGGCAGCAATTAATTTCTACAGTTGAGTCTGTGTTTGGCTTCTGTTGCGTGTGCGTGGTGCGTGTTCCCCTAGAGGTTTTTCGAAATGGAGTGGTCACAAGAAGTCGTTTTTGAATTTCTCGATCTGTATGAAAATGAGCCAGTTATATGGCAACCTACGCATCCACAACATAAAAACAGAAACTTGATTAACGATGCCTGGCTACGCATCAAAAATAAAATATCGATCGAATGTACGGTTGCCGATTTGAAAAAGAAGAAAGAGTCATTGATGGCGTCATTTCGACCATTGTGGAGGAAAGTTAAGGCATCATCAAAAACAGGGACCGGCAGCAAGGACGTTTATAAACCAACTTGGTTTGCATTCGAGAAAATGGAGAGCTTTCTGCATGGGGTTTCAGTCGCAAGGAATACATATAATTCAGAGGTGAGTGAAAGATTGTTTTATTTTAAGATATTGGAACGGTACAATGAATATTTAACAGTAACGGTCCTGCCAGTGAACCTTTCCAGTAGTTTTGAAATAGCCACAAAATAATTTCCTTATTTCCTCAGCCTCACGACCAGCTTTTCTTGGTAATTTTTTGAGGGGTAGGAAAGATGTCATATTTTGTACATCGCTTCGCCATGTGCCGGGAATAATTGTGCCGTCTTGCTACGTATCGATAGCGCCTGGCGGTGCATAGGTAGCAGAAGAGTCTTTACTGCTCCGTAAAAAATTGTGAAGCAGTGCACAAGTCATTGCTACTTTGCTGACTTTGTCGGGTTGTAGTAGCATAGGTGCTCTAAACACCCGGAAGACCGACGCTAGTATTCCGAATGCGTTCTCAACAATGCGCCGAGCACGAGACAACCGGTAATTGAAGACTCTTTCATCGCTGCCTGCTTCGTAGACTCCTTGGAATGGTTTTAATAAATGGGGTCCCAAAGCGAAAGCATCATCTGCGACGAAAACGTAAGGAAAAGTAGTTTGAGTATGATTGGGTAGAGTTTCATCGTTGGGTAACATCAGTCTATTTTCTTCGAGTTTTCTGCCCAAAACGGTATTGCGGAATACACCTCCGTCACTTATACGGCCTTGGCATCCAACATCCACATATGTGAACATGTAATTGGCGTCCACAAGTGCCATCATAACAACACTGAAAGTGTGTTTGTAATTAAAAAAATCTGATCCACTATTCATTGGGCTCTGAATCAGTATATGCTTCCCGTCTATAGCTCCCAAGCAATGAGGGAAATTCCACCTATTCTCGAATTCAATTGCAATTTTTTTCCATTCATTTGAACTTCTCGGCATCTGGAATAAAGAAATAATAACTAGAAACCTGAAGACAGCATTATTAATGAATATAATCAGAGTGTAATATCGTATACAGGGTGGCCCAAATTCGAGACACATCATTGAGATCTCCTAGTATACTACAGCTTTGGTTAACTCATTCAACGCCGCCAACGCGCCAGGCGCGTTCAGACTTGTTTACGTTCGGTGCCACCAACGCTCCTAGCGCGTTTTGTGTGTATATCCACTAAAACAGTTCTTATTCTGCCGGTACGACGAGTAGACTGTTTATTGTTTGGCGGCACATAACAAACACTTTGAAAAATTATAAATACGTGGCGGTTTCTTATTTGAATGTTGTTGCCATTAATTTATGTGCTTACAAATCGATTGTAAGTTGTATTATTGATTACATGGAATAACGTTTTTTTACAAGGTAAGTTTTATTTCTATTTTAATCTAAAGTATTCTCCAAGTGACAAACCCGTTTCGAAAGGGCGAAACAGTACTGTGTGCTGTTGGCTATTGATCGCGGAAGCGGTAGGGTAAAATACCCAAATGTTGTCATCTGTCTAAATGTTGGCACTAGTTCTGAATTACTTCGAATTTTCGAGTTATTGCTGAATATATGGGGATTTCACACCTTTTTTATGGTTTGGCAACAATTTCCACAAATATCGAACGATTTGGCTACATTGTGACGGATCAGTTGTGTGTGATATATGGTTCCGACCAGACGCGCATCATCAGTGTCGCTTGAAAATAGTAAAATTTGTAACAAGGTAGGTATCTCATCCTGCATAATTTTTCACTCTAGGCAAATAAAAGTGAATATTTCATGTTTGTCACATTGTCTTACGCTTACATAACATAAATTTGATATATTTATGGATTTTCTCTTAATAAATACCGAAAAAATAATGTGCCAAGTATTGGTACAAAAATAATGATTTTCCGTAATGTTGACACCGTGTGCTAGACGGCTTGGTTGTTGATGATTATCACATCCTAATAATTGGCACCTTTTTCTTTCAGCTTTATTTTCCAAATGTCGAACGGAAATAGGAGCAATCACACAGATAAATCGATTATGAAAAGAAAAGTAGGGAAATGGTGTACAAAAAAGTAAGTATGAAGTATTTCAGTCTGTATTTAATCATACATATCGCTTACTTTGACTAGAATCTGTAGACTCATGTTTGCTGATGCTTTATTCGTTACTTGGATGATACAAAATTATTTAAATGCTTCTGGTAGGCAATTAATTAGTTCACTAAACTAAAATAATTTTGATTTTGAAAAAAAATAGTAAAATTCTCAAAATTTGGGGATGCCAAGATTTGGTTCAGTTATTTCACGATATTCGCTTTATTAGCACGCCTATCCAGGTAGGTGTACAAAACTTTCTATCTCAAGGATTAATAGAAATTTTCAAATTTTCAGGCAAAAATCTGCCACCTACTCAGAGGAGACTCTACAACAGGCACTCAAAGATGTCCGGGCTGGTGAATCAAAAAAATCAGTTGCCCAGAAGTACGGGATACCTAGAGCCACTATCCAGTTTCGACTGAAAAACAAGTTAGCTGGAGCAAAACGAGGTCGCAGAACATACTTGACTGAAGAAGAGGAAGCTAAAATTGTCAATTGGATATTGGAAAATGACAGGAAGGGTTTTCCAAGAAGACAGATTGACCTACAGCTAGCAGTGAAGTCATTCCTTGATAATCATGAAAGGGACAATCCATTTACGAATAACTTTCCCGGTATACACTGGTACAAATTATTCATGAAACGACACCCACAACTGAGTGAGCGCACTGCTGAAGGGATTACATCTGCTTCCTCAGTTGTTTCCGAAAATAATATAAGAGGATGGTTCAGAGATATTGAGAAGTACCTTAAAGAGAAGGATCTGTTTTCAATATTGGCGGACCCAAGTCGCGTATTTAATGGCGATGAAACATGTTTTCAGTATAATCCAAAATTGGGAAAGGTCATTGCACCAAGAGGTAAAAAAAATGTTTACGAGGTTGATCTGGGTAAAACCAAGGAAAATTTGACGGCAATGTTTACATTTTCTGCCTCAGGTATAACAACGCCGCCAATGATCATCTACCCAAACAAGAGGCTCAAGTCGGCTGTAGCAAATGTCATACCGGATGAATGGGCGATAGGTTTGAGTGAAAATGGCTGGATGAAATCGGAAATATTCATTGATTACATACAAAACCATTTATATCCCCATTTGAAACAAATTAATACTAGATTCCCAATCATTCTTTTCGTTGATGGTCATAAATCACACCTATCTCTGGAGCTGAGTGAGGTTTGTACCAAACTCGAAAATGTTTTGGTTGAACTATACCCAAATTGCACAAGAATTATGCAACCAGCTGATGTAGCCAATTTTAGACCGCTCAAAAGCTTATGGAACAAATCTGTTCTACAATGGAGACATGAAAATCCTTACTGCCAGTTTGGCAAAGAGCATTTCGCACCAGTTTTAGAAACTGCGATAAATGGACTTAACAAAGAGTCAACCATTAATGGATTCAGAGCATGTGGCCTTTTCCCATGGAATCCAGATGCTCCGGATTATAGTAAATGCCTAGGGAAAAAACAAATAGGGCTGAGATATCAGAGAGACAAGAGCAGCTACAATCCAATGTTAGTAATTATGAAGATATATGGAATGTTTTCGATGAACTATTAGTAAAAAGACTCAAAAATGGAGCTATTAGTGGTTGCTGCTCCTCAGACTGCGAGAATTTCAACATTTTATTGAAAATATATAATATTCTGGAACGCCAAAAGAAAAATAATACAGCCGGTGCGAAATGTATTTTCTCTCAGGAGGAGATCAATAACATGCCGATTGTATTGCTGGACGAAGAACAACCCACTGAGGTAAATGGTGACGAACTGCTTATGAATTTTACTTATGACGATGGTGATATGTTGAATCAAAATATTCTTACGGAGGGTGAATTAGAAACCATCAACTTATCATTAATGGGAAGTGGTATTCACGCAGAAATTGATAACATTACCACCGAACCTGCGAGGCAACTAAGTGATAATCCACTACAGAAGAGCTCAACTTCAAGTCCAGAGCATAATGGTGAAAATGCCCATATTGAAAGATTTTTAGGTGTGCCAGAAACTCCTGTCAGAAAAGGTACCAGGCAAACTGAACGCGTTAGTTTCGTCATATCGTCTTCTGCGTATAAAAAGAATCTAGAAGAAAAACACAAGATTAAAGAAGACAAAGAAAAAACAAAATGTGAAAACAAAAGAAAACGCACGGAGAGAGCGGAAGAACTAGCAAAAAAGAAAAAGTCAAAAAATACTGTAAAAAAGAAGAAAACTGCTCCTGGAGGCAATGAAAATGGTCGCAATCTATCCAAAGCTCCCGTTCTAGGAGTGGAGCAAAATCACCAAATATGTTCTTCAGAAAAACGTTCACCAATGGGAGTTCATACAACAAATAATATAACGATAAAGAAAGCAACACATATTAGAAATTTGACAGATCTGATGAACGAAAGTGAATCTGAGTCTCACCTTGAAAGTAATATAACAGTATCTGCAGGACTGTGTTTTTCATGCACAAATAATATATGCAAAATCAATATAGGCATTAAGTGTCAAACATGCATGCGAATGTATCATTTGCAAAATTTAAAAAAAAGAAAATTGTATACAGAAAACTTCCAATGCCACCCTTGTACTGTCAAATGTAATATAAACAAACAATAGTATTTTTGTATTTTATGTCATCCCTTAATGCAATAAAATTGCTCTAGAAAATCTAGCTTAAGAGGGTGCCAACATTATGGCTCAAGATATGCCAACTATTGGATTCCAAGTGCCAACATTTGGAAAGTGGTAGTCCCTCAGGTTTTTTCATATTTAATCAATTTTGAATATTCTAATAGCAATTTTTTTGATTTTTCCGAAAACTGCCATGATTGAGCAATGTATAGATGTACTTATGGAGGAATAATTTGACTTTTGAACATTGTAGCCTTTAATTCAATGTTAAAGATCCCTTAAAGTGCCAACAATTGGGTATTTTACCCTACATAAAATATTCTTTTCTATTTCAGTACATACAGTACATACATAATGGAGGACAGCGATATGCAGCCATCAACATCGGCAAAAAGAGGCAGATATGAAAGCAAACGTCAGTTAACCAACGAGGAGTTACTGAATATCTTAGAAGGGTCATCAGATGAATCGGACGAAGAGATGGAGTTGGAAATGTCAAACAGTGATGACGCTGGAAGCGATAGCGATGAAGGGGTTGTGCTTCAATCTGCAACTGGAACATCTCAAGTACCTCTCAGGGTATGGCTAGCGGATCGTCCAGATCAAGACATAATACCATTTACAAGAGTATGCAGACTAAAAGGAAATATAGATGGTAATCGACCAATCGACTACTTCAATTTGTTTTTCACTGATGAATTCTTTGACCTTATAATTACAAATACCAACAATTACGCTATTGAGATACTTGCAACCACGGTTTCAGATAAAAGCAGAACAACAAGTTGGAAAGATGTTACCAAGGAAGAATTAAAAATATTTCTCGGCCTTCTTTTCCACATGGGTACTATAAAAATGAATCGTATTAACGATTATTGGAAAACCCATTACCTTTTCAATTTACCTGCTTTTTCTAACAACATGAGCCGAAATCGTTTTCTGCTCATTTTACGAGCATTACATTTTAATGATAATTCGGCCCCTGAACAAAACAGATTATCTAAAATATCTCCACTAATGAATTTTTTCAACTCTAAAATGTCTGAGCTCTACTATCCTGGTAGGGAACTAGCTATTGATGAATCCATGGTTCTGTGGAGGGGAAGGCTGAGGTTTCGGCAATACGTTCAAGGGAAACGACATAAATTTGGGATTAAATTATACGTCCTTGCAGAATCTAATGGATTAGTTCAAAAAATTCTCGTTTACGGAGGATCTGCAGATCCAAACCTAGGTGGTAACAAACATACAGAAAAAGTTGTCCATAGTCTATTAGAAGACAAAAAAGGTGTAGGACATTCGGTTTATATGGATAGTTTTTATAATAGTGTCGCATTATCGGAAAAATTACTTCAAGAGAAAACATACACCACAGGCACACTTAGAACAAATAAAGTTGGAAATCCAGAAGAAGTTATTTCTAAAAAGTTAAAAAAAGGAGAATGTATTTCTCAATATACAAACGATGGACTCTGCGTCAGTAAATGGAAGGACAAGCGTGATGTTCTCACTATTTCTACGGAATTTGATAGTGAAATGGTCAATGTGATTTCCAAAAGAGGAATAGACAAAAGAAAACCAAAACTGGTAGCTGAGTACAATAAAAATATGGGTGGTATTGACCAAAATGACCAGATGCAAAGTTATTATTCTTGTGAACGCAAAACACTTCGTTGGTACAAGAAGTTGGGGATCCACATTTTCCAAACTATGCTTGTAAACTCTTACTATTTATTCTAAAAATTTGCCGACCGGAAAGCAAGTTTTTACGATTTCAGATTAGCTATTATGGAATTCTTGTTGCCACCTGCTCCAAAAGCACAACGACCTACAATGATTTCTCATCTCCCAGAATATTGCTCAAAAGATTTGAAAGGAAAAGCGAAAAGGCGCAGATGTAAATATTGTTGGGAAGAGAAAAAATTACGGAAGGATTCTACATATTTCTGTCCACAATGTCCGAACGAACCTGGACTTTGTCTCACACCTTGTTTCCGAAATTTCCATGAACGTATGTAGTTTCATGAAAGTCTTGACTTCTGCTTGTTCTTTGGAATTTTGTTTCATTTAGTAACTTTATTTTGTATCATGTTACTGTTTTTCAATAAAAAAAATTACAATTTCAGATAAACGTGAAGAATTTTCATGAATGTGACAAGTTTTCGAAATACTGTTTCCACTTTAATCTTTTATTTTTTGTATATTAGTATATTATGTTTTATCTCTGTACAAAAAGCAAAAATTACAATAAAACGTCAGGAATTTCATGACAGTAACTTCTTCGTAATACAGGTTTCACTTTTGTTTATTATTTGTATTTTTGTGTCTTATGTAAATTTTGTTTGATAATGTAAAATTTTTTGTATTTCAGATGTGATTGACATTGCAATAAAAAACTAAGGTCACAATTCAAAGTGAAACGCGCGACGCGCGTTGGCGGCATATAGCATGCGGGTATAGCCGTATGCCGCCAACGCGCGTAGCCCGTTTTTTTCAATTTGTATGACGTGTTTGTCTTTAAGGTGCATTAATCTTCTAAACAGATAACCTAGACTACTTTATGAAAGATTTGTTGAAATAACTTTTGAAAATACACGCGGCACACAAGGCTCGTATTAGTAGAGATGCCGGAGGTGAAAGCGTTAAATTGTGGCAACGTTGCGTATGTTGGTGCTCACTAACGTGCCGCTCGAATTTGGGCCGCCCTGTGCGTTAAATTTCTTTATTTTGAAGGTAAAATCATGCTTAGAAGCTAAAAAATCATCTGTCTCATTTCAGAATTGGGAGGATAGCATGCCTCAAGAGGAAACCGAAGAAGATTCACTCACGGAATCTGCGTCTGCAAGTGGGGACGGTGGGACATACAAAGATATACAGAGACAGGCAGACATGCGAGGAAAAGACAGTAATGAAATCGAGGCAAACACGGAATCTGCAGCTGCGAACAAAGAGGGTGGAATCGAAAAAAGCACTGAAAGCAACCAAAAGCATTTCAAGGCACCAGTTGGGGGAGCAAAGAAAAATAAAAGGAAGGCCGTGGACATGGAGGAGACTAACCGTCGTATGGAAGAAGCCTATGAAATCATGAAACAATGTCAAAATACCGAACCACCCAAAACCACTGTTTGTACTGCCTATGGGCAACTAGTGGCTAAGAGGCTCGAGACGTTAAGCGAAGTGGACAGGATTATTGTGATGAATGAGATTGATAACCTATTCTTCAGGGCAACAATGAGGTCCATGGGACCTCAATATCAATCTCCAACTTCTTTCTATTCGTCATCGATGGGACCTCGATATCAATCGGCATTTCCAGAACCAGCCTCCCCAGCATCTTTCTATTCGTCATCGTCTGATGAAACTTTTCATACAACTCCGACGATCACCTCTTTGCCACAGAATTCTGCAACTTCTTCCGCCCACCAACCGCCTCTTGCTCCTGAGATTCCAATAACTCATTGCAATGATATATCCTTATTAACAGAAAACTATACTAATCTTTGACCATACTTTAATTTAACTTTAACCATGCTTTTACCTTATTTCTTAACTGAATAAACAATGTAGAAATGTTTGTTGTATACCTACTTTTATTTGATGGTTGAGAACGCTAATCAATGCATCGCAAACGTCGAAAACGCACCGGGATACAGTTTGTGGTGAAAATTTGAAGAGGTATGACAAACTCACGAAACTGTCACCACTAGCGAAGAATCTGAGAGCAACGCAGAACCTTTCCTTAACTGAAATTGCCTTCCTCAGCTGAGTATCTTTTTTCCCTATCATATGTCCCACCTCATTCAGTAGAAATTCGAAGTCGGTGTAGGACATTCGCAGGAAATTCTCCAACCTTCCTGACGGTTCTCGAATCAGGTCCTCTATCATAATGGAGACATTGTACCTGCAAAAAAATAATTTTGACCAGTGTATCAATCTTGAGAATATAAAGGCATGGTATTTGCTTTTGGTAGATCAGGACAGATAGAGGTATTAACTTACCTCTCTCGACTTCTGCTCAAAGAAGTCATCCACCATCTTCTTTTTCTTTTTGCTTTCTGAACTTGATGAGCTTTAATTCTTCTCATGCAGCCACTCAATACCACAAACGCTGCTGAAGCGACTACGCGACTATCCATGATGGAAAGAAAACAAACACTGAAGACCGAGAGGCAACGAAACCTGCTGTAATTGCCAAATACACAAATATTGGCGTACTTGCCAAATACAGGAGTAGTGGGAGCGCCCTATTTGTAAATTGAATTCGAACCTTGGTGTACTTGGCAAGTACGCAAATATTGGCGTACTTGCCAAATACACGAGTAGTGGGAGTCCGCCTTAAGGCAGATAGCATTGAAACTATTTTATCACAAATTCCATTTACGTGAAGTGACCAATTTAAACTTTCATCTATCAGTAATCCCAAATATTTAATACTTGACACTTTTTCTAGCGCTATATTATTTATGTTAATATTTAGATTATTGCTATCTTATTTTTTTGTTTAAATATAATGTATTTTGTTTTTTCAATGTTAATTTTTAATCTATTCGAAAACAGCCATTTAAGATAACTATTCAGGTCATCATTAATAAGATTCGTTAAAGCAATTTCATCTGTTCCAGTATATACCAGTACAGTGTCATCTGCAAAGGTAAAATATCTTCCCCTCAGATTGGCCAACTTGAGATTCAGTACATAAAGACTGTATAACAGAGGTCCAAGAACTGACCCCTGTGGTACTCCATAGGTGCTAGATAACCATGCACTATCAATGTCTCCAAGCTTTATGTACTGTTTTCTGTCATATAAATAAGACTTAATCAAGCTGTACGAAACACCTCTAAATCCCATTTTAAACAATTTATCTAAAAGAATGTCTACGCTTACTACGTCAAAAGCTTTTTTTAGGTCAATGAAAACAGCTACAACTATTTGTTGTTTATCTAGAGCCATTGAAATGTAGTCCACAAAATCAACAACCGCACTAAGTGTGCTACTGTTCGTTATAAAACCATATTGAAATTCATCAATCAATATATTGTGAGTAACAATGAAAGATAACATTCTTTTTTCTATTAATTTTTCTATAATCTTAGAGAATACACACACCACTGAAATAGTCCTGTAATTGTTCATACATTTAATATCTCCCGACTTAAAAAGTGGGGTTATTTTAATTATTTTCAATTCTGATGGAAATATTAATTTTTGTATAGTTTCATTGATTAATCGTACTAAAACAGGTATTAAGTATTTTCCAAGATTATTTACATCCTTAACCGTGATACCGTCATATCCAGGTGCTGAGTTTATTTTTAGTTCTTTCACAACTTCCGACAACTCTTCTTTATTAGTCAATGTTATCGAAATAGAATCTTCGTTGTGAACCTCACCAACAGAAATAAACTCATTCAACTGCTGAATCTCTGCTTCCAAATTTTCAACAATTGATCCACCGACCCGAGAAAAGTATTTATTTAAATTGTTTGCAATATCAAGTTGAGTGTTAATAATGTTATTTTCAGTTACTAGTTGATCAATTCTTACTTTATACTCCTTATTTTTTATTAGGCTGTTTATAAAAGCCCATTGTTTCTTTACATTGTTTCCAGCTAAGCTAACTTTAGTTTGGAAATAACGGTTCTTCAAAGCACGTATTTTATTGTTTATTTTATTTTTGATGTTTTTAAATTCAGAGATGATAGTTAAGCCTTCTGGTTGGTTAATCTTTCTTTTATATAATTTATCTCTTTTTTTGATAAGCTCAAGGATTTCATTATTTATCCAGGTGTTATTTGTACGTATTCTTAATTTTTTTATATATTCCGATTTACTTTTGCAGTCTTCAATTAAATTAATTAATTCTTAAAAAGTTGTTACATTTTTGCTTAACATTTTTTGTCTAAATAAGTTTACACATTTTTTATAATCTACAGATTTTACCACATAATCAACTTTTGGTTTATGGAACTGCACAGATGTTTTAATATCAAATAATATAAGTTTATGATCCGAAATTGCATTTTCTTTAACACTGACTCTACAACTTACATTACTACCATAATCGCTAAGAACATGGTCTATAACAGATTTTGACGAACTGCTAACTCTAGTAGCACACTCCTCATTTTTCGTATTATTAATTTTAAAAGTGTTTAATGCTATTAAATCTTTGTACTCCTTGGCTACTTGTGAGACTTCTAGCAAATTAATATTCATATCCCCAACAATTAAATGATTTTTAGGATGAGTACGCATAATAGATTCCAAACAATGAAAAAAATTTTTACTATTTACAGATGGTGGTTTATATATAACACTAATTTTTAAGTTTTGTTCCCCTAAGCTAATACATATCCAGTTTATTAACTCACATCTGTTTGACTTCTCAATTTCACGAAATTTAATAGATTTCCTCACATAGATAGACACACCACCTCCTCTACCAGCCCTGCAGGAATGAACAGCATTATAGCCATCCAACTCAAACAAGAATGTTTCACTTTCTTCCAACCATGTTTCAGCCGCCAACAGTATATCCCAATCTTCACTTACAACCAAACACTGCACCAGATCCAGTTTATTTCTAATACTTTGCAAGTTCATGTAAGCAATTTTTAGTTGTTCACGAGGCCTTACTAGTTTTCCAACTGACTTTTATTACTAATACGAAGAACTTTTGAGTTTTCGTCCTTCCTTAGGAGGATATTACCATCTCCAATCCAAAGGAACTTATAATTTCTGTCTTTCTTAAAAGCCTTGGCTGCCATGAATAAATCAAGATTTTCTTTTGTGAGTGCATGGTTGAAAAATATTTTATTATCTGTCGTATATCCCAAATCCGAACTTTTAAGGCTAAACTTCTTTCTTGATTTTAAAAATTTTATTTTGGTTGATTCATCTTCAAAGATGACTTTAACAGGGTTGTTTTTATTGTTATCCCTGCCCAATCGAAAAGTCGTAAACCTGTTTCCATTCGGGACGTCAAGGTAATTGCCAATTTTATTTATAATGTCAGGTAAGTTCTCGTTTTCTTTGTATGGAATTCCTTGAACCAACAAGTTGTTTTTAAGTTCCTTTTGTTCATTTTTGTTTAACTGTTGCTTAATTTGGCCGAGTTCATCCTGTAATTGTTCGTTTATTTTTAATTGCTCGTTATATTTAGTAAATAATGCCTTATATTTATTATCCATCTCCTCTAATTTTGCCATGACATCGGCCAGAGTGTAATCCCTCTTCACCTGTGAAACAAAACCAGGACCATCTTTGGTCTTACATTTGCCACAAATCCAATCATCATTGGATTTACTTAATTTAAGATATGTTTTATTTGACATTGATAAGCATTCTTTATGTTTCCATATGTTGCACTTATCGCATAGTAATGCTTGACAATCATCAAAAACCTCCTTAAGACATATGTCGCAATTATCAGTCTTGGTTTTTGGCATTTTAATGTTGATATCCGAAAGTTACGGCAACTCCGCTGGAGGTTCACAGCAATACCCAGCCTCCCAGTGCCTGGTGTCAATGTATAGAAGCGCACGGGTCAAAGTACAGTTGGCGATAAATGTCGTCCAATTTCGGCGATTTGAAGCAAAAAGAAGATCTTAGGTACTACAAAGCAGCGTTATTGTTCTATGTACCGTAATGCTCGGATTCATCGATAGCACAGTAATTAAATGATACTATTTAACACTAATTTTGGAAAATATTTGCAGAACGATTCGTAAACACAACTTGACCGGTTATGGGCAACGTTGCCAGTAAGTTCCCATGCGGTTTAGAAATTTTAGAATTGATACAAGTATTTAGTTTATTGTTCTTCTAGAAAGAGAAACTTATGCGGGTAAGCAATTTTTATCGATTTCATCATTTGCTAAGACGGCATTTTTTGTATTAGGAATTCCAATAAACATGGAATCGAATAAAAGGCCGTTGAGTGACAAGGAATTATTGGATGAAGTAGAAAAAATTTTCGCCGAGTCGCAGTCAGAGAGTTCGGAAAGCAACGAAGTCGCCGAGGACAGTGATGATAGCGTCAGAGATCCGGACTTTCAGTACAGTTCTTCCAGCTCTTCAGAAGCGAGATCTTTCGAAGGAAACCTTTCGCTAGATGGTACTCCTAATGATAATCCTGTTAACAATGTGACTGTAAATTCTGAATGGAGAGAAGTTACTGGAAGTAATCAGCAAACATTTACATTTATAGGAAATGAAGGCCTAAACCCAAACTTGGCTACAACAAGCGGCTTTACAGAGTTAGATGCGTATTCCCTGTTCGTGACCAAGAGTTGTTAGAAACAATGGTTATAGAAACAAATCGAAATGCACAACAAGTAATAGCCAAGCTAGGTAGACCAAAGTCCAAAAGCCGACTTTCACTTTGGAAGCCAGTAACAGTACCAGAAATGATGAAGTTTATCGGCATTGTGCTTTATATGGGTTTAGTGCGTTACCCGAATATTGAGGCTTACTGGAGCACACATCCCATATATAGAAATAACCTAGTTCCAAAAATAATGCCAAGAAACAGATTTCAAGCTCTTCTTCGCTTTTGGCATTTTTCGAATGAGGACGTGGTAGCGAAAGATAATCGTCTCTACAAAATCTATCCATTAATTTCTCATTTTAATTTGAGATATAAACAGGTAATGCAGCCTGGAAAAGTTATAGCAATAGATGAAAGCATGGTTCCCTTCCGTGGTCGACTAAAATTTATACAGTATATTCCTGGAAAACGACATAAATATGGCATCAAGCTGTTTAAAATGTGCGATCACAAAGGATATACTTACTCATTTTCTGTTTATCAAGGCAAAGGTGGGGACTGGGAAGTATCCCTCCCAATGAGTACGGTGATGGATCTGTGTAAAGATTTTTTGGATGAAGGAAGGGTTGTGGTGAACGACAACTTTTATACCAGCATTCCTCTTGCTAAACAACTTTTAAGTCGAAGCACTCACTCAGTTGGGACCCTAAGAAAGAACAGAAAGGGTCTACCAAAAGAAGTTATGTCAGCAAAATTAAAAAAAGGGGAAATTATAGGAAGAGAAAATGAAGACGGAATCGTTGTCTCTAAGTGGAAAGACAAAAGAGACGTTTTAATGCTCTCTACTTATCACAGTTTGGAAGTGGTAAATACAGGAAAGTTAAATAGGAAACGGGAAGAGGTTCAAAAACCACAATGCATTATCGATTACAATGCAGGAAAGGCGGGTATTGATTTGTCCGACCAATTGGCAGCATATTCTTCTCCTGTCCGAAAATCGGTAAGGTGGTACCATAAAGTTGCCATCGAATTATTGATGGGGACATCTTTGGTTAATGCTTTAGTTGTATACAAACTGGTGCATCCAACTTCAAACATTTCCATTACAAAATTTCGGGAACATTTGGCAGAGTCGCTTTTGGAAATAATTGTTGAAGGCGAAATTCCACAACAGGATAAAAAGCGAAAAAAAGTACAGCACGAAATGAAGGAGACTGAAGAGAAGTGCAAAAGGAATAGAAAAGTTAGAAAAAGGTGTATTTATTGTTACAAGAAATTAGCGGCGGAGCAAAGCTGGGAACTAGCAGCAAAATCAGCAAAAAGAGTAACTACTTATTGCGACACCTGTCCCGAAAAACCTTTTATTTGTATCAAGTGTTTTCCTGCTCATTTTTGAGAATATCTATGTAGTGAGTTTTATCTGTAATAATTAATGAATAACAATAAAACTTTTTTCGATCCATGTTTTTCACATTGGCATGATTCGATTGCCAAACCAGTGATGCACTTCTACTTGTACGCCAACATCCGTATGCGGGAAAATGCACGTAACCTGAACCGCTGGCATACAACTGATCTTAAAATGCAGGTCTGCTCTTGTACGCTGGCGGTTCAGATGGCACGACACTGATACAGTCAGTTGGCCGCCGGCGGTACATGATGTCAACTTTACAATTATTAAAAATGCGATGCGGCGGTTAACGTGTTAACTGATTTATACCACTTACTGATTGTACTTAAATCAGGTAAAGATTTATTAACTGTGTTTCTAATAAAAATCATTAAAAAAAAATAATGGTCAAACTACCACAGACTTACATGAGATAGCTAATGAAATGAATGACTTTTTTAGTTCAATTGGCAAAAAACTAGCATCTAAAATAGTACCAAAACCACAATCTTATGAGCATTGTTTGGATAAATCCTTATTTCTGCGGAGAGGACGCCATATCCTCTAGAATTATAAAAGAAAATCATAAAAGTTTATTATTTTTTCTTCTGGTTGTTATCCTAAAATTTTTAAATACTCCATTGTCATTCCAAGCCACAAAGGTGGGGATAAAACGGACATAAATAACTATAAGCCTATAGCTTTGTGTAGTGTGCTTAATAAAATAGTAGAAAAGTGCATTAAATCAAAGTTATGGGACTACCCTGAGAAAAATAAAATAATATCTCCGTATCAGTTTGGGTTTAAACCAGAGGTTAGTACTGATAATGCGTTGTATAATGTTAACCAATTTGTGACAAATAGTATAAATAAGGGTCTTAAACCAGTAGCTGTTTTCTTAGACTTAAAAAAGCCTTTGATACGGTCAATCACAATATTTTACTCAAACGTCTAGAAAGCATAGGAATTCGTACATAATTTATTTAAATCTTACCTGGAGAACAGATATCAAAAAGTTAAGTTAAGCGATGTTATTTATAGTGAAGCTCAAAAAGTAGTTGTTGGCGTACCGCAAGGTACAGTGCTTGGCCCGATTCTGTTCTCAGTGTATGGTAATAGTCTCTTAAACTTAAACGTTAATGGTAAAATTGTGTGCTTCGCAGATGACACTGCCCTTTTAATCGCAGGTAGTTCATGGCTTGATGCTTTTACTAAAGCTGAACTAGACTTACACAAAATAAAATGCTGGTTAGACATAAATCAACTGACTCTAAATATTGAAAAGACAAAATTTATATCTTTTTCTATAACCAGAAGCGACATGCCTATTAAAGTGTATATTCCCTTACATAACTCTTCATGTAGCGTTCAATTAAATTGTAACTGTCATTTAAAAATACAATCCTGTGACAATATTAAATATTTGGGTGTCTATTTTGATAGATTCTTAAGATGGGATATACATGTTGACTACATCAGTAAAAAAGTTAGGAAATTAGTGTACAAATTTTCGCAACTAAGGAATGTCTTAACCTTTAAGTTAATGAAAATGGTGTATTTTTCACTAGCGGAATCTATTTTAAATTATGGCATTTTGTGCTGGGGTTCAGCATGTGAATCCCTTTTACAACCATTAAAAGTGGCTCAAAAATTTTTATTAAAAATTTTGTTATTTAAACCTAAAGTGTATTCTACCGATCTTTTTTCTCAAACAGAATTTCTAAACTTAAGGCAACTTTACTGTGTAAGAGTTATTCAATTTTCTTTAAAGTATGGGATCTTTCATGAGAGAGTTAACCACCCGATACAAACCAGGGCAGTAACTGAATCGAGATTCTGTTCTTCTCTGCAGAGTTTGTCTTTTACTCAGAGAAATATTTCTTTTACAGGTCCCATATTGTTAAATCTATTACCGCTTCTCATAAGGAATTAACGAATTATTACAAAATCCATTAAAAACAAAATTAGATACTGTGTAAAAACTAATTATATACTTATTACAAAAAAAATAGTATGGTTCTCTGAGTAAACGAATACCTGTATCTGCGCTGCTACATGTGTAATATATAGCTTTACTACATTAGATAGTGCGTATATATCATTTATATTAATTTTGTAGTGTAGCTTTTTCTATTGTTGTAGTTTTTGATAAGGAAATTAAATGTTAAATGTTATTCGGGGATACACACAAATTTTAAAATTCATCGTATCCTCGTCTAACATTTCTAGAGCCTGTCAATGTAATAATTATTTGAATAAATTATTTGAATTTGAATAAAAGTATACGCCTTAGGTGGGTAAAACGTAAGGGTCACCGCAAAGCTTCTTAACACAGGATCATATTTTTGTGTTGATGGACCTTTAACATCCTGTCAAATATTTGAGAGGCTGGACCCGACAGACCCGCCTGACAACAATAAAAGCAAATTTCAATATCTGTAATCTTGGTATGTTTGAGCAGCTTGGGAATAAAATACACTTGTAATCATGATACTTCAATATAGAACAACTTTCAAGAATGACATTTTTGCATTGTTTCTATATGGTAACTGTCACATTTTGCCATTGTCTCATGATTGAAATTGGAATCTTTCATGATTTCAGGTATAGGTGATGTCCACTTCTGACATACCATAGGTCTAAATAACTTAAAAATTAAGGTGACTCGAATTATTCCAGTGTTTTAAGCTAACACCACCATTAACAGTTGAGCAAGAAAGAAAAACCTTAAACACACGGGAAAATATAAATAAATTGGATATCACCCATTGTTTCTTTATGGCGAGCTGTTATATTGTTTCGTGACTTTGGTTATAGGCTAGGTCAATTTATTTGTATTTTTCCTCTTTCAGGATGTTTTAGGTTCTTTTGTTGTTAATTAACTGTCCTATTGTGGTTTTTGTTTGTTTTTCCCTTACCTTGAGTTCACTTTCAGTTGATACATTCATATTAAACTTTTGATTTAGCATATCAAGGAATTCCTTCTGTGTTTGGATTCTATTTCTGGAATATCGAATCAAACGTTGTTTGTTTTGTAGTAACTTCCTCTGTCTCAAAATAGTGTCTTTCATGAGACGAAAATTCCATTTTCTCTTTTCAGATGTAGAAAAGTCGCTACTGGTTAAGTCTCCCACATACCTCTTCCTACAATAACAAGACCACCATTATGAATGTTGTGAATGATTAATTTTACAGATGACAAAGAGGTATCAGTGTACAGTGTGTTTATGTATTTATACAGTGATTTTCAAAAGCCCCCTCCCCTACGTATTTTTTGAATGGGCCAAATTAGCAAATAAGAATTTGGGCTAATGGAATCAATCTTCTTCTTTTTTAATGATCTGTCTAAATGTGCAGAGAAACATGGAACATTCTGTCATTTCTACGCTAAAATGTAGTACCTATATGTCTCAAATTTCGACTTACTTGCGAATACAGGAAGTCTCTGAGAAAAGCACTGTATATACTGAAGTTCATATACAGGGTAGCACAGCAACATTTGAGGTCCGATGTTTTAGAATGTATGAGAGACAAATATAACAAAAACATCTGCACCAATCACCATGTTACCTAGCAGTGACAGAAACAATGGTTGCAGAGCCTTGTTGTAGCTTGCCATGCATTCTTTCTAACATAATGTGTTGTACGCTTCTCTGTCTTCCCTCTCTCTCATATACAGTGAGACTTCAGACATTGCTGGCCTGCTCTGTATATGAATGTCGTCTATAGACATTGAATGAAGAATTTATATCTGAAAGTATGCTTTTGTACCTCTTTCTTTTCTTCTTTGCTTGAACAGATTCAGTAAACACATCTGATTCATAACCATTTTCTGAGGCTGTCACAGTTGCAGGTAAGGCACTCCAAGTGTTAGAAGAACTTGATGATGGCCAATCTTCCACATTGAAACTAAAAAATATAAAATATATTTTATGCATAATCTTAACTATGTGACATCTTGCTTGATTTACAATGGCAGAAGGTCCAGGTTGAACAAACATTTCATGTTTCAGCTGTATCCTACAATATCAAAGAAAATATAACAAATTTCCTGATAAACAGTTGAAGATACCAGTCATATATCAAATCAAAAATTCAAACAGATATTGAAAATAGCAATTTTAAATGGATGATAAACAGGGTGATTCAAAAGCAATATCAGTAATTTTTGGAGGACAGAAAATAGGTTTAAAAGTGACAAAAAATCCTATGACCACTTGTATAAAAATGTCCCATTGCCTAGATAAAAGATATTATAAATTTCTGCACCACTGATGGAACTGAATAAGGACAAAGCATGAATACTTTTAAAATGACCCTTAATACTAGGACTGGATAGGATTCCTAAACACTAGATACACTTCTTCAGATTTTATCGGATACATTCAAAAATGTAATTTTTGTTTTGTCTCTTCTAGTGGTAAAAATTTCCAATCAACCTCAACGATTTTTTTTGATCTTGAAATTATGTACCACTTCTATACCCAGTATTGAGACTATGGTTTCTATGAATGTTTCATGTGCTTCATCCTAAAAATATTGATATCATTTCTGGATTACCCTGTTTTATGATACAAATATAAAATATTTACAGTACATTTTTGCATTGATACTCCTAGCCCAGTAGAAGCAATTATAATCAGACAACTGACTGTTTTAATTGTGTTGAAATGCTGTACTAAAATTTCTAAAATACTTTCAGATGAAATAAATAGTACGTTTCCAAATTTAAATTAAATTAGAATACAGTACATGGATCTTTCATGAAACATACCTTTCATCAGTATTAATTCTGGATGAAGAGCTTCTTATGGAGCTGCCAGTCACATCTATGGAGCTTGCTATACCTTTTGGCATCACAGAAACTTGTTTTGGGAAAATATCAATACTTGATGATGATGTACTAAAACAATAATTTATTATATTGTCACCAACTAATAACCATTCTTATCTGTTTGTATAACAAGCTTTATATTCATAACAGACCAAGTGATAATATAACTGTCCCCTTAGGTCCTCTCTTCTACATTCTATATGTCAATGATATAATGCAATTAATGCAGGATTTAAACATGTATGCCGATGATACATCTTTTGTTATCAGTGAACACTCAGAGGCAAGAACTAAAATTGTTGCAATTGACCACTTAGAACAACTTCAGAACTGGTTCTCATCCAATAAACTACTGTTAAGTTTAAAGAAAACACAACTACTGCAATTCAGTAGAAATTCAGAAAGCAATAACTTTTCTATCTCTTTTAATGGAAACACTATTGATGCTGTAAACACTGCCTCACTTTTAAGTGTCAGTATAGTTTCCTGCCTCAATTGAAAAGACCATATTGAAGATGTATGTGAATCTGTTGCCAAATTCAGTTATGTGATAGGAATATTGTCTGGAAGTCTTGGCAAGAGGGCTGCCTTAACAGCATATTTTGGATATGTGCATTCCAGGCTGTCTAACGGAATTATTTTTTGGGGCAATTCAACAACTCGCTCACCCAATATTACAAAGTCGTATGAGACAAAATTGAAAATAATCTGATTTCACTATTACCAAGTCGTATGTTGTCTGAAGAAACATACGACAAATTATTGTGAATGTAACCCTGCTGGTTCTGCTTAAAAACATAATATTTCATTGGTGTATGTTTTCAAACAGACAGAATGGTACAACAAAGTCGTATGTATCACATACGACTTTGGTGCAGTATTTCCAACTAAACGTCACGGGTGGTCACGGTTCAACAATGTCGTATGTGTTACATACGACCTTGGTAGTCTGAAATTGTTCTGGTCATCAAATCATAAGGTAGTATGTCATAACTTACGGCAAGGTGCACTCGTGTGTTTAATATTTTGAGGTTATGTTTTTAATCGGGAATAGTTATTAACCTGAGGATTGACACCGCATTTTCGCTAGTAGTTCGTGAATAATGGAACAAATAGGTGATAATCAAGCGTACTGGAGTGGATACGATTCAGATATCGATAAAGAATATATTCCTCCTAAAAAAACAAGGTATGTAGACATTTCGATTCCTTTTTATATTGCTCTTTGTAAATAAGATAAGACAGAAATATACGTACTCCTATTTTGCAGTGGTACCAGATACATACAAAAGCTTACTTAATTTCGGATTTTTAGAAAGTAAATAAAACTAGAATGTTTTTTAGAATCAAGATTCGTGGAAAATTATATGAGGTAGAAGCCGACAAGACTCTGGATACAAAGACTGACGAGTGTAGTCGCAAACTCGACTGCCATAAATTTGCAAAGCCAAAAGAAAATTTGAATAACTACGCAAGGTATGCTAATTTTGATATTGTTTCTGAATAATAATAATCATAACATTAATAACTTTTTCAGGGTTGTACCTATGAAAGGTTTTAATAAAGTTAGCCAGTATGGCGAGTCTAGCAAATCAGGGCAGAATGAAAACACCGTAACAAAACAAAATCCTAATCAAACAGAAAAAGAAAATCTGCAACCATTCAATGAACAACAGCAAACTGAAGAAAATAATGAATATGAGCGAAACAATGCTCACAAATCTGAAAATGTTACTAAGATGTCAAGAATAAGACAAAGAAATATTAAAAGTTGGGCGAGCCATATTAGAAAAGAAAGATTTGATAGAGGTCAGGAATATATTTCTGTCAGAAAAAAAATCGTACCGGCTAGAAAAATCAAAACAATAAAAGATTGCATAGAGAAATGTAAATTCAAATGTGGGAGACTATTCAGCACAGAGCAGAGAGAAGAGATATTTTCAAACTACTATAGGCTGAGTGCTTCAGAGAAAAAAATGTTTATACTAAGTACTACTGACATGGGTGACCCTGAAAGAAGAAGGAAGGGAAAAGATAATACTAATTCAAGGAAAAAATGTACTCTAAGATATTCATTTATCATTAACAACAATAAAATACGTGTCTGTAAACTCTTCTATTGTGGCACTCTGGGTATAAGTGAAAAACCAATTTACACAGCCCACAAAAACAAAACAACGAACAATACTAGTTTACCGAGTACTCAAGGGAAACATCAGAAAAAAGTTACTGCTGCAGTGGATGCAGATCTTGTGCGAACCCATATAAACATGTTTCCTCGCGTGGAGTCGCATTACTGTCGAGGAAATTCTAAAAAGGAATATTTAGACGGCAATTTAACAATTCACAAAATGTACGAGCTTTACAAGGAATTTTTGAAAGAGAAAGAAAAAGAAAGGAATCCAGTGACTTTTTGTATTTATAGAAAAAATTTTTGTACTGAATACAACTTATCTTTTTATAAACCGCGAAAAGATAGATGCGACGTATGCGAGGAAGTAGGATTAAAGAGAAAGGAAAACAACCTCACTGTACAACTGGAAAGTGAATTTGAAAAACACATAAATGAAAAGAACAGCATGAGGAAAGAGAAAGATAAGGACAAACAAGGTTCAGTTCCGATTTTATGTTTTGATCTAGAGAATGTTTTGAGTTGTCCCAAAGCTGAAGTAAAAAATTTTTTCTACAAGAGCAAACTGAATGTATACAATATGACTGCCCATTTATCTGTTAACAAACAAGTTTACTGTGCTGTTTGGTCAGAATCTTTACATGGACGCTCAGGAAATGACATTGCTAGTGCTGTTTATAAGATACTAAACCAGGTACTCTTCGACCACCCAGAGTTTGAAGAATTGATACTGTGGAGCGACAGCTGCGTTCCACAGAATAGAAACAGTTTCATGAGTTTTGCGGTTGCTCACTGTATTCAGCGCCATCCTAATTTGAAAAAACTTACCATGAAGTTTTCTGTGCCGGGTCATTCAGCAATACAAGAAGTAGACGCCATCCACAGTTCCATTGAAAGGACCCTTGCCAAGACTGAGTATCATTCACCAGTTTCCCTTTTAAGGATCTTACTTAAAGTAAATCAAAAAAAGACGTTTAAAATAATGCAAATGCAGAAAAAAGATTTCTTTGATTTCCAGTTTTATTCTTCCAAAATGACCTACAACAACCTTCCATTTTCGAAGGTATGTTGTTTGCAATTTTCAAGAGCTTTTCATCAAATTAAATTCAAAACTACCTTTACAGAAGAATCAGATTATGTTCCTATAGATTTGAGACCAAGAAATTTGCGTAAACATGTTATTGTCACAGCGGATTTTATTGCAGACATCCCAATCGAATTAAAAAAGCACGACGTTAAAGCAAAATTGCCCCAAACCAAAGTAGATGCATTGTCTTCTATGTTTAAATGGATGCCAGCAGTGGATAGACTATTTTATGAAAATGTATTTCATAATATGTGAACCCATTATACCTAAAATGATACTTTTTGTTCCGTTTTTATAAGGTGTATGTTACAAGCTGTTTTTTTTATTAAGATTTTCAGGATAACAAAGTCGTATGTTTTTTTTCAAATCGCATTTTTTATTCTGTAAAGAGTATTTTAGTGTTTATGTTTATGAAAAATAAATGTCAAGTTGCTTATGAATTGCACCCCGACTTTGATTTTGAAACAATTTTATATAAATCATAAACTTTACCTCCCAAATTTTCAATACTCTATTTCTCATTTTCGTGTTCATGTTACATACTACCTTGTAATATTGGGTGAGCGAACTGTCTAGAGAGCACTTATCCTTCAAAAGAAATGCATTAGGAACATCTTTGGTATGTGTTTCAATGATAGCTGAAAAACAAGTATTCAGAGAAAGGGGCATTTTGACTGTGGCTGGTATATATATCTTAGAATCAATAGTATTCATGAAAAAAAATCCAGATCTTTTCCAGAATCCATACTTCCACCACTACAGTACTAGAAATAGATCTAATCTCATATCAAACACATTGACCATGACTATACTCCAGAGGAATGTTGAATTCTCGATAACCAAAATTTGGAATAAGATACCTCTCAACTCAAAAAAATGTTGCATACTATCCTCTGTGACAAGGCCTATTATCAGGTCCAAGAATTTTTGGAGGACAGTGATTTTTAATGTCATCTCATATCTGTGATATTTACTGTATTTTAAGCTTATTTGTATTGTATATTTGTATTTTATTGTGTATTTGTATTAATTTTTGACAAGTTTCACATCACCACTGTGATTACATGCAACAAATAAAGTTTATCTATCTATAGGCCCAGGCCCAGAACCACAGGTCAGAGTACCCAAATGCTCAAAAATCAACCAACATTCAGAAATGTCTGAATAATTCTTTTTCCCTGATCTTGCTTTGACCTGAGGGCTCAAGCCACATTGGACTCAGGTCAAAATTCCTGTGGGTCCATCTACATAGAGTAAGGTGGCCTTGGGCAAAATAATCTAAAAAACATTTTGTGTGTATAAAATTCTTACCATTGAGAGGAAACAACTGGCCAAATGGACTTTGGAACAGCACCAGGTTTTAGCCAAGTTCTTCCACTAGCATCAGTAGTGAAATCGTGTTGCAACAAATGCTTGGAGCATATTGCAACCATCTTTGTGGGATTGAGGTTCTAGCTTGGTAAGTTCCAAGAAAGACATCCATTTCTCTCTCTGCTTTTCATTTGCAGGTAGTCTGGAATGAAAATTAAACATTCAAGTAAAAGATGCATTGTAGGAACATTTGTGATAAACGATATATTTATACAAGCGCTTGAGTGATTTATGGGCACTCATAAAAAACAGCATTGTTTTCCTTACATTTAAGAATGTTATGAAAATCTTTCTAAACACTGTTTTACATGTAAAAAAATATAAAATACGGAATGGATCCGGAAAATGACGCGCTCCACGCCAATGATTAGAATCGTAAACATAACCTACCTGTGAAAAGATATCCCTTCACTGGATGCTTTCTTAGCCTCAACCTTACACAAAAAACACTTTTGTCTCACCATAATTTAATAAAAGTCTAAAAAACAAGATAATCAAGCGTACAGCACGAGGATAAAAGCGATTTTTACATAAAATGATAATGGCGATTGGCGAAGGGCGGCCAAGACAAGGAACACGCACAGATTCTCAGGCGATGACCGATGACTCACTCTACTCTTACTACAAGGCTACTACAAACAAGTGCAGCGTTGCCGTATATAAACGTTAATCACAAATGTGTAGAACATCCTCTGTATTAAGGAGACGTTGTAGCAGACCGCAGGTCACGCACAACACATGGCCTACCGAGACGCTGATGAGTCGGGCCACGCGGAGGTTTAGGGTTTAGTGGGTATTAGGTGCTCTCCTCAAGACCCTGGAGTCCCACACACGCCGTAGCTCGGGCTATGGTATAGTGCGTAAATGCATTCCCCCTCACAAAAAAAAAAAAAGTTTGTATTATACCAACATTTGTATGAAAATTCGCGTATTCTTCACTTGTTCTATAAATTATTATAGGTATATAAGAATATACATGAATTTCTTCTAGAACAACCTTTCTGCAACAGAAATAGGTCATTTGACTAGTAGTGGATACCATGGAACCAATGTCAAAAGGGCCGTGGGGTCAACTTATTTGGCAACATCGCAAAAAGAGGGTTTGTTGTGGAGGAAGAACTTTAGTAAACATTCCAGGTCTATTTGGCTAAGACGTCAATGGTTGTAATCGAATTTGTTTGGAGCCAATCTAAGCACCGCCCATCGCTCTGACGTCAGACTTAGGATGTCTATTGAGATGCCTATTTTTTAAATGACATTGACTTAAGACCTGTCACCCGCTTGTACCTCACAGACGTTAGGACGACGTCACATGCGCCTTCCCCTATTCCCGTTCTTCACGAAAATTTGAGTTTCGGTTCCCGGTAGAGATGTAAATACTCGGATGATTCAGATACTCGGTTAACCGTAATCGGCATATTCAAATACTCGGATGATTAATTCGGATTAATTCGGTCATCCGCGTGACCTCAAGGCAACATTGAAATTGAACGAACGATCGCGAGTCGACTTGATCATCCGCGATGCATGATTGCCGATATAGTACATTTTATTAATTCATGTGGTTTGAATACGATTGATTGATTCGTCCTAATACTGGTTCTGCAAAGACTAAATACAGACTTAAACCAATTGATTAAGTTGATGTAAGTTTCTATATTAACGTGACCCATTAATAACCAATACTATATTGTTGTTATTTTTAGTTTGTCAGATCGATTAGAGTTTTTCAAATAAGCTTTTAATTTAAAACATGGCGCCTGGAAACAAGTTTATAGTGTGGGGATTTTTTGAAAAAACTCCAGAACATAAGTTTGCCGTATGCAAATTATGCAAACAAAAATTGAAATACTTTGTCAGCACAAGTAATTTGAGGCAACACTTGATTCGTAAACATAGTGTTCATGATCATGCAGAGCTTGCGAAAGAAAATACTCCCAGAGATATAGATGAAAATAATGTTATTGCTTTAAATAAATGAGTCGGCTGTTGGAGAATCTATACTAGGCAAACTGATACTGATAGTGCAAGTAGCTCATCTACTTTTAACGTGAGTGCTCCTATGTTTGATCGGACGAATATGAATATCAGAGAACCAGAAACATCAGAAATATCTCGCTCAAGAGTGACTCATTGTCCAGATACGCCTCGAAATTTTGGACGAAATCGCCAATTAAAACTTTATGGTGGGACTAGCACAAAGGAACTTTCAGAGTCTCAAAGAACTGACATCGATTTAAGTATATTGAAGATGATAGTTAAAGATTACCAACTCTTATCAATAGTATAGGATAGTGTTTTAACAAACAATATTTTGCCACGCACATATTTAAAAGCAGTTACAGAGTTGAAAACACTTTTAAAGAATGTGCGATATGTGTCGCTCACGACCGACATATGGCAGTCGGATAGCAATGAATCATATGTATCCCTCACCTGCCATTTTATTCACGATACAAAACTGCAATCGAAAATTTTGGGCACGCAAAAACTCACTCATGCTAGTCATACTGGAAAAATATTGCAGAGGATTTGACCAGTTTAATTAACAAGTGGCAAGTTGCTAGTAAAATAGTTACTATAGTTTCAGACAATGGAGCTAACATTAAAAATGCAATTACTGAGCATTTACGCTATCACCACCATCCTTGCTTGGCACACACGCTAAAGTTATCAATGAAAGAAGCCCTAAATGCTAGTGAGGAACTAGATACGCAAATTACAAAATGCAAAAGTATTGTTTCTCACTTCAAACGTAGCGGGCTTGCTACCGGCACCTTAAAAAGATGTGAAGAGCAGATGGGCTGCTCTATACTAAAAGTTTTGCAAGCAGTCGACACCAGGTGGAACTCTGTACTGACGATGCTACAAAGGCTACTGGAAGTTAAAGATCCGCTCACAATAGCACTAACTAACTTGCCCGCTGTTCCCGAGCAGATAGATGCATCAGAATGGGTCGTCATAGCAAACATTATACCAATTCTGAAGCCCCTCAAACTATTAACAGTAGAACTTTCAGGTGACCAGTATGTCACAATGTCGCTAGTTATACCACTTATTCGAGGATTGCAGTTTCATTTAAGAAACATCCAGCCTGGCACAGAAATCGGTTTATGGTTAAAAAATAGATTATTAGATATAATCTCCAGACGTTTCGCCATTCTAGAAACAAACAAAATTATAGCCAAAAGCACATTCCTTGATCCACGCTTCAAAAAAACTGCTTTTGGGCTAGAAGAAAATGCGAAAAATGCACAGACGTGGATTACTGAAGAAATTACCAACATAATTTCTGTGAACACAGAAAGTACCGCAGAAGTGCATCCAGAACAAACAAGGCCTAATAGTGGTCCCTTGGAAAAAGGAGGAACTATGTCATTATGGGCCCATTTTGACAATAAGCTGGCAGAAGTTACAACAATATCAAAGACTACACCCAGTATAATGGCAACTCTTTCGGTGAGACATTATTTGGAATTGCCTCACATTGAAAGAGCTGCAAATCCATTATTATTTTGGGAGAATCACAAGCATATGATGCCAGAGTTGTATGAACTACACAAGAAGTATATGTGTGTACCGGCAAGTTCCGTCCCAAGTGAGAGAGTTTTCTCAAAGTCAGGGCAAATTACGAATGAAAGAAGAAGCAGATTAGCAGCAGAGAACTGAGACATGATCCTCTTCCTAAATTCCGTTCTATGATCAAATCCAAGGAACTGGTGATATTTATGTTTTGTTTTTTTTATAAATTTAATTAAACTAGAGGAAAATTATAGTGTTTATATGCAAGATGTTTTTCCTATTTTTATATAATTTTTATTTGAAATGTTATTATTAGTTTATTTATTTGTTGTGAATGAGAATATACTTTTATTTTTTAGCTTGCAGTTCCCATTTTATGAATAAAACTCTACTACTACAGTTTCCCCGTTCCTCGTGCTAACGAGCACACAACGGCAACTGTGCAACCATGGACGCTATCCTGTCGCTTCCATCTTCTGCGCAAATGCGCAGGCATTCGCATTCGATATAATCCGTATAAAATAAAATTAATTCGACAACCGAGTTCGAATCTTCGAATGTGATTTCATTCATTCGTAGATTCGGACTGTGGCATCTGCCGCCAACCGGCAACGCAGCGCAGGCATTCAAATTCGAATACGAATTCGATATCGACGTCTTTGCCTCGGCATCATCGGAGGATTTCAATAGTCGGCATCAACGAGTATTTTCATTCGAATTCTTACATCACTAGTTCCCGGTAGTGCACTGTGCTACACCGTGGACTCGCGAAAAAATCCTTTATTTTTGGTTGTACCATTTTCACGGGAATAAAGATGGTAAACGTAATATTTGACAACGTTGTGCACCGCGTGGCACCGTTGGTCGAGGATGAAGGATGTCAAAACTGTAATCTAACCTCAACCTGAAATTAAACATAACCTCATTATAATGTGTAATCTGTGATATAAACATGGGTAGGAAAATACCAGGAAGAAAGCATAGGGGGATCAAAGATCCAGAAAAGCAAGCAGCTGAAAGATTCTCAAAAATCAAGGATAAAATAAATGCTCCTCCATCTAACCCAGACATTCAGGAAACTCCTAAAAGTCTACTCAGACTCATTGACCTGAAAGACAAGACGAAGAATGGTGACTTTAACAAGAAACGGAAAAAGAAGGACAAGGACCAAGAATATAAACATAACCTTGGACCAACATTCAAACAGAAACCAGGTGAAAGTGACAGAGATTTTGTACGTCGTATGAATTATGCCTGTATGACTGTGACCAGAGAAGTGGCATTTGCTGATAAATATGGAGTAGAAATAACGCGTAATGAAGACGGCGAGGTATGAAACTGCTGACATATTTTTGCTAGAATTAAATGTATAAAAATAACTGACAAAATGAATTAGTAAATTGTCAACCAAATTTTATCTAATTGAAAAACAGTATCAGTGGAATCACATTGTAGTCCTAAAGCAACATTATTTGAGTAACTAAAAAATTAAACATTACATTTGCTGCCTGTGGTAATGAAGGAATGAAGGTAAGGAATGGTATACAGGTATGTAGTATCCAACATCAATATAGACAAGTTTGGTGTACAACCGGTTAGTCATGTCCACTGCTGTCAGTATCTGATACATGCTTAAGAACTGACATACTAGTTGTGTGATAAATGTGTGAGTCCTCATATATGGTATCCTGTAATTTCCTTTTGTTTCACAATGTTTTATATTGTACAATAGACGAAAATATGCAGAATGATTTCAGCAAGTTCAGTTAAAATGCTCTTGATTTTTTCACTGCAGGTAGAAGCTTTAGTTAAGAGACCCAAAGATGAGCTAGAAATAATGCTGAAAAAAATTCGAAAGGAGAAAAAAGGAAAAAAACTGAAGAAAAATAAAGGGGAAGGTAATACAGAAGTGGTCAGACTGACTAAATCACAGAAATGGGCATTGAAGAAAAAAGAAAAGAAGTTGAAGAAACAGAAGAGACACTCAGATGAATTCAAAAAAGCTAACGATAATGTAAAATTTGGAGAAACAGTACATGCACCACCATCATTAAGTGCTCCAAAAAAAGCCAGCATAGATGAAAGTGGTATTAGGGTAAGTTGATTTAATAAATATAGTAAAGCCATAAACACATTTTTATCATTTTCTAAGGTTCTCAAACACTTAATTTAGGGCTCTAAATCTTCTGTTTTTTGAGATATAAGCAAGTTTGTAAATATGACAGGTTAGTGCAAGGACTATTTTTTTTTAAGGTAAACAAAGCTTAATAAGCATAGGTATATTCTTTAATTCACCGGTTGAGCTACCGGTGCAACCGGTTAGCCAAGTTTGCGTCCTTTAATTTCCGCTGGAACGACCAGTTTTACATCAAACTTGTCTCTATATTGATGGTGGATATGCCACCGGTGCCAACAGCATCCACCGAAGTTCGGGCTCGGTTGATCTACCTCTACATTTTATCAGTTTTTGACAACTACAGTTTTGTGTGAAAAAATGGAAGAAGAAAAGATTGAAGTTATCAGCATAGGAGTCGCGTGAAATTTTATGTTTTTTTTTTCAACACAATTATGCATATCGACGATCTCAAATCAATACTTCGTAAGTCCGAAAATGTCGGTTTTCTGATTTTGTTCTGTTTTTATTCCTGTATGAATACAGGAATGCTCTCAGAAAATCCATATCGATGGTTCTTATTCGGGAAGCAATACGAGGCATTGATTTGAGATCGTCGATATCTGAAAATTTCTTGGTTTTCTGATTTATAGCTCTTATATTGATTCTCTCCACTGGATAACTTCTTCATCAGAATCATCACTCGACTCGCTTAACAAACGTTCCACGACAATACCAACTGCTGTGTACATTTCCATAATGATTTTAAATGATACGGTGTTCAAATTAACAAGTATCCATTTACGATAAAACAAAGGTTAGGTTTTTTCATAGGACAGCAACCTGAAGGCTAAAAATGCGTCTTTTTATTAACGACCATTCAACGGAACCGGTTGCTGACGTCATCACATCAGCTGTCAACCATGAGTTCACCGGGTCTACCAGTGATGGAATCAACCGGTGAATTAAAGAATTAAATGAAGAAATTGAATATTGTATCTGAAAGAAATTAAAAGCATCTAAATTACTTCTGCAATAACATGCTATGTTTTTTACAAAATTTACAAGTTTTTTGTAAAAATGCATATCTTTTGTCTCCAATAAGCCCTTATTATTCAATTTTTTTCTTTATATCTTAAAAAATAAATCATCAATGATGGAACTGCAGGTATATGTTTACATAGCAACAGATAGATGTACCATAGAAACACTATAATTTTCACCTTGACCTGTTTTCAGCCTGGAAAGAAGAACCTGTTACTCAAATCAATGTTAAAAGGAAACAAAGAAAATAAAGCAGACCATAAAGCTGATCCACTCAGAAAGACTAGTAATAAAGTTATTGATAAAAAAGGCAAAAGGAGATGTCTACCTAATGCTATGAGGCGACAGTTGGATTCTCAGCAAAAGGAAATAATTGCAGCTTATAAAGAATTGAAAGCAAAGAAATATTTAAAATAAAATGATCTATAAGGGTGGAATTTCTTATCATTGAATATGGTTAAGTGTCAGATTTATAATTTGAAAGTACAGGATGTTTTTAAAGTAGGAAGTTTACTTTACACAATGAACAGTCCATGCAAAAATAAGCAATTTTCCTAGTAACATACACAAAAGGCTTAAGATATCCAATTTATTTAGTTTAGAAAAAATCTGAATAAGTTAGCCTGCCTCTGCTCTCAAACTGAAGCCAAAATTTGTTAAAATGACTGTTGAACAGACTGAATGTAGTGAGGTTCCTCCAGTAATGCCACTTATCATTTCTTAAATAAAACCTACTGAGGAGTAGCTCCTTAATGATACTTTTCCATTTCAGTACAACAAAGTAAAGTTCTTGATGGTGAACCCTCCTTTCTTGATATTGTCAGGTTTCCCTGAAAGATGCCTTAGAAAAGGTAGGCAACCCATCTACATATGAGCTAGTCGTATTATGACTTAACATGTAGGTAGTATTGGTGGTAAATAGAGGAACTTGCAAATTTGGCCCTGTTAGATATGGAGTACTTCCTCCATGCTGAGTTCGGTTTTGGTACAACAAAGTGGAGTAAAAAAGTTTGGCTACCTGTACAAATATAATTCACTTGATTTTGACATTATGAGTACTTACTCCATGCCACATTTCATTCTACTGAAACAAAATATATATGTATATGAATAAAAAAAAACGATTTCGACCATTTTTATGACCCATTTTTCCAAGACATAAAACAGATATTGCTCTTAAAGGGATTAATGGCAGACTGCTGGATCTAGTGTTTTCTAAGAGATGCTGTATGGTTGAAAAGGCATACGAAGATTCACTTCCAGAGGATGTTTATCACCCTCCTTTATGTATCACCCTAGAAAACAGTATTCGGAATCTCAAACAGAACACAGTAAAACCGACAGAACATTTTAATTTCCGAAAAGCTGATTTTCTTCTGCTGTATGAGCAAATTGGTGTGGTAAATTGCTTTTCTGGATGATATACAAGACTCTGATATTGCGTGTAGTTTATTTTACAATACACTAAATTGCATATTCAAAATGTGTGCCCCAAAAACTAAATTAAGCCACAGGAAATACCCACCTTGGTTTAATGGTGAAATAATTAGGAACATAAAAAACAAGTATAAGCTGCACAAACTGTACAATAGATATGGACAAGCTGAAACGTCTGAGGAGTTTAAACATCTGAGAGCAAAAATCAAAAGAGTTCTATATATAAAAAATACTTAAAAGGTCACAACCATCCAGTTAATGAAATGAACTACAATGGCACTACCTACAGCACACCTGATGAGATAGCAAATGCGTTTGCCAACTTTTTTCAATCAGTATTTTCAAAGAATCCTCATTTGCCTCCGTCAAGTAATTTACCTTCATCCTATACTAATTTTCCCTAACTAATTTTAACGAAACTGAAGTATACAAGGTGTTGAAAAGAATGAACAATAAATTGACCAGTGGTCCAAATTGTATCCCATCTTTTTTGCTGAGGGACTGTGCGTCTGTCCTTGCATGCCAATTAACAAAAATATACAATATTATTCTGAAAACTAAAATATATCCCGACGTTTATGTCCAATTTTTAAAAAAGATGACAGAACTGCTATAGAAAAACATAGACCAATTACTTTGGTATGTAACTTCTCCAAAGCTTTGGAGTACTTATTGTACAATTTTATATATGTTATTGTCAGTAAGAGTATATCTCCTTGTCAGCATGGTTTTATGGAAGGGAGGTCCACAACGACTAACCTAATTTGTTTTTCACGATTCATTTCTGAATCCCAGGACGCTGGAGTGCAAACCGATGTCATTTATACAGATATTAGCAAAGCATTTGATAGGTTGGACCTTCATCTGCTATTATCAAAACTTGTTAGAATGGGCTTTTCAGATGATTCAGTATGCCTTTTGAAACCCTATCTGTCCAACCGTAAGCTGTTTATGGAATTCAAGGGATCCAAATCTCAAAAGTTTACTTCAACATCAGGTGTTCCACAAGGATCATTGCTAGGACCACTTTTTTTATTATATTTATCAATGACATTTGTGACGTTATTGATTGCAAATACCTCTTATATGCCAATGATCTTAAAATTAATACTCAGGTTAGCAACAGCACCGACTGCGAACGTCTCCAAGATAATCTCAACAGAATAATAATTTGGTGCGATAGTAATAACCTATCCATGAATGCATCCAAGTGTACCAGCATGACGTATTCCAGAAAACAACGCCCAATAGAATATCATTATAAGGTTAATCAAACAACGCTGCCGAATCTAAGAGAATTCAAAAATCTTGGAGTTACCTTTGACACAACCCTCAGTTTCAATCCGCAATTACCTACTAAATTCTGTAAATAAAAGTCTGGGTTTTGTAATGCGCAACTCTCGTGATTTTGACAGCACAAATGCTCTACTCGTGCTTAGAGATTTAACATATCGGAAAAATTAGTAAAAAAGCACTTTTTTTCCAGACCATGGGAAAAAGTTTTTTAACCATATTTTGTAAAAATAAATACAAAAAACCTACTTTAATAATATCTATTAATATCTAAGATATAAATACATACATGTATATAGGGTCAAATTATAATTATTATCTAATAATTGAAAGTATCAAAAACAAAGCTTCAAAGGTAGAAAACACATTATTTAACCAAAGCGCTCAGAAGTATATTTTCATCTGAGTCCGAGTTTGAATTTTCAGACCAAGCATCTGATTCAGACTCGATCTCCGCTTCGTCTTCATGGACGGATCAAAATCTTTGCCAGTGTCTTCCAAAAGTGGACTGGTCTAGCATCGTAAATGAGTGTCTGTTTTTCGTTTATAACCAAATTAGAATGAATAGCAACCAGCTTCTGAATTTTATGCTGTGATAATCTATTTCTTTTGCTTGTATGTATCAGGCCGTGCAAAGACCAGTTTCTTTCTGAAGAGGCGGAAGATGGCGGTCCATTTAAAATTCGGGAGGCAATTGGCATAAGTGGCTGGGATGTACACAAGCCTTGCCACCATATAACGGGATGAGTACTATTCGCACTATCCTATAAAGAATTTCGACTAAAAAAATCCAGTTTTTGTTCTAAATTGGGCTAGATTTGCCACCACCTTCTCTACATCTAGATTTAGTGAACGAGCCATTTCAGAAATGAAGTCTATGCTTCCATTAGTCCATTTTAGCAAGCTTTCGATAAGAGAACTAGTCAGGTCAACTTGTTGGGGAATATCTAATATTGTGTCTTTTATATATACTTAAAGACAAAAGGCACTTCTGATAATATAGGTCTATCCGATTCTACTAAATTTACCGATTTTGATACAGGATGCAGGATTTGTTTAGTATATTGTAGGTTTTGCCAGAACGCATCATCCAATACAACTTTTTTAATATTTTGTTTTACATTCAGGTTTTCCACTAATACAGTACATTGCAGAGCTTCCTTATTTCTTAAAAGCGAATCAACGGTTATAAACAGAGAACCCGATCTTGCTTTTGCAGGTAATTTGAGGGAAATTACTTTATTTTTTGGGTATTTTTCGGCCTGTGCTTCTTTAAATGCAGCATAAAGTATGTGGTGCTGTTTAAAATATTTACAAATTTTTTTAGACTCTACTTATTTTTTCAAACAAATTTTCTTTCATAAAGTCCTTTAGTAGCAAATTCAGAGTGTGAGCTGCACAACCAACACAAGATATATGAGGATATGTTGTATTTATATTATGCCAAGCAGCTTTCATATTGCTCGCATTGTCTGTCACTATTAAAAAAAAAATTGTGGCCCTAGTTCTTGAGTAACTTTGATAAGTTCATTACTTATATACGTTCCCGTTTCTTTTGCAGTGCCACGATGAACAGTTTTGTAAAATAAAGGTATAGGCGTGCATATAACAATATTGATTAATCCATCTCCGACTATATTTGTCCAACTCTCTGTTACTATTGATAAACTATCGGATTCAGAAAGCTTTTGACTTCCATTTATCTGTACACGTTCATACTCGGAATTAAGTAAGTTTGTTAACAGGGCGTAAGGGCTAGGTATTTGGTGTTCCCAATATTTATTTTTGAAATGAGAAAAAGGAGCACCAGAAGCATAAAGAGCCCTAGCTAATGCCTCGTCAATTTTAGAAGACTCTGAAACAGCTATCTTATCGAAAAACCCGCTCAATGTTTGTTGACAGCTAGCTTTCTTGCGTTTTACTGATGGTAATGGAGATTCGGAAGATGATGACATTGATGACGTGTCCTTTTTGCTAGTTGAAGGGAGACTGGTATCTTCTAATGCATCTAGAAGGATATCTTTGTTACTTTCTTTTTCTTCTGACGTCGAATACTTCGAACTCGATTGTATTTCATTGCCATATTTTTGTTTAATTTGCAAAGGACATTTTGAACATTGGTTTAATATATGATTCGTCATGCGAGTTGCGTTTGGAAAGGCGTATTTAAAACAGCAAAACTTACACACAGCCTTGGATTTTTTATCTGTTTTTGAATATTAAATAATTGCCAAATATCTGAAGAAGGTCGAACCATATTGTCCTGCAACAAGAAAAAAATACATAAATAAAATATCTTGCTGCACTTTATCAACTGATCAAATTCTTGTAATTTAATGAGTATACAGATAATAATTATTATTACTGAATCTTGATATTAGTAATAAAGAAAAGTAAGGAAAATATGCAAGGAAACTGAAATCCCACCTTCAAAACACTTAAAGCTATTCCAAATTTAATAAAATATTCACTTACCAGAAATCAAAACAAACACTTGGGTCAACAACACTAACAATCTTCAGAACAAATACACTCAATTATTACTACAATTATTCACTTTCTATTATTCATTTACTGCACTTATGATAAGGCTACATTAAAATGCGTACTTTAAAATAAACAAGACGTGTCAATATTGAAGAATCTCATTCTCAACTGAACAGTTCAGGAATACGGGGATTTACCGAAATGCCGTGTCGCTATGCGTGATCGGGAATTAACCGAAAGCTGTAGTGGTCGGGGATTCACCGAAAATCGACAGGTATTTACCGATAACTAATCCTTCAGAGCCGTAGCTTGCGGTTTTGATTCAAATTATTTCTGTTTGATTCATATTAATGGAAAAATCAGTAACCAGAATACTTTTATCTCGTATTATAACAAATTTCAATTTTTCCGTATTTTTCCTTTTTTTCTTCAATTTTTCCGGAAACAACAGGTTTTTTCCGGCACCCAATTTTTCCGGAAATTTTAAATCTCTACTTGTACTGTATAATGCATTTGTAATGTCAAAACTTGAATACGCTAGAATTATTTGGAATCCCTACTATGTGACGACTTGTGACTCAATTAAAAAAAATACAATGCAAGTTTCTGAAATATCTGACCTACACAGGATAGATGGTATCTATCCAGAAATAGGTGTTCTTCAAGATGTATTATTAAAGAGGCACGGTATGCTAAGCTTAGACCACAGAAGAAAAATGCACTCACTAATATTCGTATTCAAGGTTACTCACAACCAATACGATTGTCCGGATATTCTAAGTCGCCTATCGCTTAATATACCAAGATGTCTTACCAGAAACATCCTAACGTTTTATTTACCAACCCGCAGGACCAACTTACTGCTACATTCTCCTCTATATTCCATGTGTACCTGTTTAAGCAATCTACAAAACAGAATTGATATATTTAATACAAATGTGACCTCTATTAAGATCCTCTTCAAATCTGTTATATAATTGTGTAGTTTTGTTACTGTTATAGTTCTTATGTATATTAATTACTTCAGGTTTTTACTATGTAAACTTCTGTTCTCCCACCAATAATTGGTTTATCTGTTAGTGGTGTAAATAAATAAATAAATAAATAAAGACATAAAACAGATATCGCTCTTAAAGGGATCGATAACAAAATGAAAAAACTACCTAAGCTATGATTTTAAAGGAAACCGTGAAAATACATACATATCTCCCATATATTTATAAAAAGTATGAATTTGTGCGCATATTAATTTATGTTCCCGCACTTGCAAAATCGGCCCTGATGGACCTGCTAGACATATACCACATACAACTAGCCTGTTAGTTGTATTAATTACTTTGCTCTCCTAGTTTACCTACCCGCAGAATGCACACCTCCGAATCACACTGCTAACCCAAGGATCACCTGCACTATCCCTTCAGCCTTATTTTTTAAGACTTCCTCAACAGTCCGCTCCAATATTTTAATATTGTGCTGAACTTAGTATGCTCTATCGCCAGAAAAAAAATTAGCAAAATCGCCGGCCGTGACCCGAAGGCTGTACCGTTTCCTTGTCAGTACAATGTGGAAGTTTTCTATTTTATGGAACATACTTAAAATGATAGTCTAAGTAAAGTGACGTACAGCACTGAAAACATTTTTTGAATATCTTAAAAAATGAAAAAGTTGCGTTTTCTTATTCTTGTAGGAGCGCGAGACTGGGCGATGACGTTTCTTGACACCTCCGCCTCGCGTGCTTGGCGCCATTCACAAACGTTGCTTTGCTCCGTATTTATGATTTCCGGTAAAAACGGGCAAAGATGGGTCGCACGGTGTTAAAAAAAATGTCAATTTCGGCTGCAGCTGACTGCAAGTCTGGCGATTAAGTGACATTACACAATAATAGATAAATTATATATTGAAAACGTATAAAACTTATGTCCTGTGACGTAACACCCAACACAGAAGATGTTATAACTTCCTTAAACTTTAAGTTATCGTAATAATTCTTTCGGGTTCGTGAAAGACATCAGTTTCCTATTACTATATATGTAGGTGAAACTGCCAGTATATTCCACTATAGCAAACTTCTAATTCTAAAAACAGAAGAGTTAAGTTGTTATGACTATTATGTTTGTGCTATGCTATGTTGACTACAAACTGGGCTTTATGCAAATACTTATTCTGATGAATCCGCCGTTTTGAAGTGTCATTGGTAGGTATTATGCCTAAATAGAAAGAAATTTTACGAATTTAGTTTGATTGCTATATACATATATACGAGTAGATATACACTACCGTCCAAAAGTTTGGAAGCAGCGGGGTAAAATCAACTAAAACAAAATTAAGCCCTCTTCAATTACTTTTATTGATATAAAGTGTCCACCTTTTGCTTTAATAATTTTAGCGCATATTTTAGACATTCTATTGATTAATTTCTTAAAATAATCTTCGGATAATTTGTTCCATTCACTCTCTAATAACTGCCATAAATGTTCTGAGCTCGTAGGAGAAGATTTTTCACCCTCCTGTCGAGTTCATCCCAGACAAGTTCTACTAGAGCAAGATCAGGTGACTGCGATGGCCATTGCATGATTTTTAAAACCTTCTCATCTGTTTTGTTCTCTAAAAAATTCTGACACAGTTTAGACGAACGTTTGGGGTCATTATCCTGTTGAAACGTGAATTCAGGACCAATGAGATTTAGTCCACAGGGTACGGCTGAGTCCTGAAGAATTTTTAAGTAACCTTCTTTGTTCAATTTTCCAGTTATCTTCACAAGATTTCCGGGTTTATTATTTCCAAAACACCTCCAAACCACTACATTACCACCACCATGTTTCACAGTTGGCAATGTATATGCTTTGGATCTCTTGATTTGAACGGCGTGCAAACATACGTCTATTGGATCCGAAAATCGGCAGTTTTGATTCATCACTCCAAAGAACATTTTCCCATTGACCTGTAGTCCAGTCTTTATGTGTATTTGCCCATTCTAGTCTATTTTTCTTGTGTCTAATTGATAATTTTGTTTTTTTTGCAGCAACACATCCTTTTAGATGCCCAGACAGAAGTCGTCATTTAACAGTTGTTACTGAGATAGGCGCGTGCTGTTCACAGTTGCGGTAAGTCGTGGTGCTGTTAAACGTCGATTCCGTTTAGACAGAACTCTGATGAAGTTATCCTCTTGATTAGTTGTGGTCTTAGGCCTGCCTGATCTTTTTCTGTTTTTTTTTTGCGTTTGTTCCAGTTTCTTGTTTTCTAGCAAGAGTGTAGTGAACTCCTTTACAAGAAATTCCTAGCCTAGCTGCGATTTGACGTTCACTGTATCCTTCCTCACGAAGAATACAAATAGCACTTCGCTGTTCAAGCGTGATTTGATTGCGTTTTCTGAAGAAAAATTATGGGAAAAGCAGTAGTCAACAATTTGCGAAACTGATAATGTTATTGTCACAACATGCACGAGCCAAAACTCAAATGCAACTAAACAGGACCCAAACAAGTTAAAAACAACAAATACTACCGATAGCAGCAAGTCAAAGTACAAAAAAAGCAACCGCAGGATTAAGCCATAAAACACGTGTTTTGTCAAAATCTAGGAATTTGTAAAAAAATATTTATCGTACATATGTTGTATGAACAATAGTAAGTAGTTTGTATTAATTTTGACGATTGTACCATGCATCCAGCTTTCACCAGGTTACTGGTTGTTTCCCTCAACCTAAACGTAAATAACATTTAGCAACATCCACACATAAGTTAAATTAAAATTCATTTTGCACAATAGTTGCTATTTTTCTCAATGTTATTGCAGCTCCTGGTGATGATGGCAAAGACCATTGAAAGCTAGAGAGATTAATAAAGTATAAAGAGTCCTCTTTGCTTAAATTTTGTCGAAGGACCCAACAAAAGGCGGAAGCTGTAATTTTTCACCTAACTGGTCTAGACGACAATGACCACGTCTCAAGATATATATATATATACAGGGTGTTCCATAATTATTGCGACAAAATGATAGGGGTTGTAGAGGGCATAAAAATATGCAATTTTGCCTTATAAACCCCTGTTCGTAAATATGCCGTTTGAGCACTACAGTTAATTTTACCTTAAGAGCTCATAGGAGAAACAAAAAATTCACCAGCTGCAAAATGTTCGTCTAGCACATTTCATGGTCTCACCGGTTTGTAAAAAAAGCCTGCTGTGTTTACATTTTTGTTATCGTACACCCGTACCACCTTTTAAAAGTCCAAGCCATGGGTCCAGCAGACTATCTGCCGCGTCGACGTTTTTGCCGTTGGTGGCTGCAGCAGGAGTTGAGGCAACCAAACTTTGGTCGCTACGTTTTGTTCACTGACGAGTCCTGTTTTACAAAGGACAGTTATTTTAATAGCCATAACAGTCACATTTGGGATGAAGAAAACCCTCATGCCATAGCCATCCATAGAGACCAACATCAGTTTACAATTAACATCTGGTGCGGCATTGTGGACGAGCATATCATCGGGCCATATCTGCTTCCACCACGTTTGGATGGGCATGCTTATGGTCGATCCTTACAGCATGTGCTACCGGAACTATTACAAAATGTGCCACTGAATATACGAGCCAACATGTGGTTTCAACACCATGGCGGTCCAGCCCACTTTTCTTTACAAGTGCGTCAGTATTTGGACGACAAATTTCCAAATAGGTGGATAGGCCGAGGTGGCCCTGTGCCTTGGCCTGCGCGGTCACTTGACCTGACCACACTGGATTATTTTATCTGGAGCTATCTGAAAGCTTTAGTGTACGAAACTCCTGTTCCCAACCAACAAGAGCTACTGGGAAGAGTGATGGCCGCGTCCGCACATGTTCAGGACATACCGGGGGTATGCCACAGAGTTCGCCGATCATTGAACAATCGTGCACAGCTGTGTATTGAGCAAGGTGGAGGACACTTTGAGCAATTACTGTAGGTAAGCTGTTTCAAGAAACTGATCTTTTTTTTTGCTGCAGCCCAAACGGCATATTTCCGAACAGGGGTTTATAAGGAAAAATTGTTCATTTTGATGCCCTCTACAACCCCTATCATTTTGTCGCAATAATTATGGAACACCCTGTATATACAGGGTGGCGCATCGAAAAAGAAACAGACGCATTTAGTGGCAGCTCAGTTTTTTTTTTGAAAAACGCTCAGACCCGTCGATTTTGTTTTCCAGGGGGACAGAAGTTTGTAAAAAAATCACGTTAGCACGTGCAGCCCCCTAAACGGGGGTGACACCACCCCCAAAATCTTAAATGGAAACGGGGGTCGAGTGATACCTTATTTTAAAGGTCTTTCAATTCCCTTTATAATGATATAAAATTAATGTACTTCAGTAGTTTTGAAGATTTATTGTTTTAAAGCTTAAATAAAACTAATACATCATCATTAGTGGAGATCAATACATTTGGCAGCAAAGTAATTTAGAAATGAAGAATTAACTGACTGACCCGTTAGGCAAGTAAATGTTGAAAATGGCCACCATGGCTCTCCTTGCTATAATAAAGATTTTGCTCAAAATGTTGCCGCACATTTTGCAATATTTGAGAAGTAATTTGAAGCCACTCATTCACAATTCTTTGTCGCAAGTCTTCTAATGATGTTGGCTGAGTAGCATAGATTTTGCTTTTTAAATGACCCCACATAAAGAAATCCAAAGGTGTTAAATCTGGCGATCTTGGGGGCCATTCAATGGCACCTCTTCTACCAATCCATCGATCTGGAAACGTCTGATCTAAATATTGTCGAACACGTAATGCGTAATGTGGTGGGGCACCATCCTGTTGGAACATCAACCTATTCGCAATGTACCGCCGATCATTCTGATTTTATTATGGCTGTTAATGCAGGATCTATGGCGTCTTCCATTAATTCCAAATACATTTCACCGGTCAAATTTCCAGGTAAGAAAAAAGGACCAACTGAATGATTGCCAAAAATACCAGCCCAACCATTTAATTTTTGTGGCTGCTGTATATGAACCTCTATAAATTCTGGGATTAGAATCGGACCAATATCGGCAGTTATGACGATTTACTACGCCATTTAAGAAAAAGAAACATTCGTCGGAAAAGCAAGTGTTGAATAGAAAATGTTCATTGTTTGTAATTCGTTCACTCATATCTTCACAAAATTGTAATCGCCGATCAAAATCGTCTTCATTAAGTTCTTGTACCAGGTAAATTTTATACCAGTTTCCCGAAATTTAGCTACACGTTCTAGAACATATTTTCGATGCACGTTACTATTCTCATGTCGATCATTAAATATTTCTGTTGTTCTATTAGCGCACTGATTATTTCCGAAAAATATTTCGATAATTTCAACTCTTTCTGCTGTGGAATATACCATGTTATATTTATGTAATGAAGCGTTACAAGTTATTTTAGCAACAAAGTTTGGTCAAATCAATCGCAATTCCTATTTAAAATAAGTACGAGATATTTCCTTATCTTTCTTCAAGAAATAACTTTTTTGCCACAAAAAACGCTCGAATAGCTATTTTCAACAACAAAATGATAAACAAACCATGGGCGTAGTGAAGAGAAGTATTTACTTAGTAAGTAAATTATTTTAGTCAAATTTCTTCTGAAAGTAGTACAAACTAATCTGATGTACCTATTAAAGTCTACTTTAAGCTTTTAATTAATAAATCTTCAAAACTAGTGAACTGAAGCTCTTGTATTTTACATCATTATAAAGGGAATTGAAAGACCTTTAAAATAAGGTATCACTCGAGCCCCCTTTCCATTTAAGATTTTAGGGTTGGTGTCACCCCCGCCCAAGGGGCTGCACGTGTTAATGTGATTTTTTGCCAAACTTGTGTCCCCTTCGAAAGCAAAATCGACGGGTCTGAGCGTTTTTCCAAAAAAAAATACTGAGCTGCCAGTAAATGCGTCTGTTTCGTTTTCGATGCGCCACCATGTATATATATAGAGTGGAAAAAGATATAGGTATAACAAATAGAAAAATAATGGACAAATTCCGCAAAAACAAAGAGAATTCGAGCAGAGAATAAGATAAGTAACCCGAGCGATACCTATTCTGGTTCTGGGCTTCATCAGGCCCGAAATTAATGCACATAAGCAACTACAAAAGTAGATACACATGCCCAAACTGCCGGATATGGGTGTAACCTGAAGAAACGAAGATGGAGAGTCCACAACAAGAGCCAGCCTACACATTGTAGTATAAAATGGCAAGAAGACCTCAAATTTTCAAGGCGACATCTAACCACAACCACGCGGCATGTTATAGCCACTTGATGTGGTACTTCAAGCCCAAAGGATCTACAAACAGAAAATGATCATGCTGAGAATGGTAGATAACAAATAGAAAAATAAGGGCAAATTCTGCCAAAAGGCGGAAAGTGAATTCGAGCAGAAAATAGGATAGGTAACCTGAGCGATACGTATTTGTGCTTGTTAGCTTCATCAGGCTCGAAATGGATACACATACTATATGCAACTACAATACTAGATACACATGCCCATACATCCGGATACGGGTGTAACCTGAGGAAACGAAGATCGAGAGGGAAAGGAATTGACACACGCAGTCAAAAACAAGAGCCAACCTACACGTTGTAGTATAAAATGGCTAAAGAGCTAGAATACCTCGAAGGCGACATCTATTCACGCGGTCGGTTATAGTCACTTATTGTGATACTTCAAGCTCAAAGGATCTACAAAGAGAAAGGATCATGAGGAAAAGGTATACATATAACAAATAGAAAAATAATGGGCAAGTTTCGCAAAAAGAAGGAAAGTGAATTCGAGCAGATCCAGAGTAGATCCTTTGAGCTTGAAGTACCACTATAACCGCTATAACCGACCGCGTGGTTGTGGTTAGATGTAGCCTTGAAAATTCGAGGTTTTCTAACCATTTTATACTACAATGTGTATGTTGGCTCTCGTTTATGACTTCGTGTGTCAATTTATTTCCCTCTCAATGTTCGTTTATTCAGGTTACACCCGTATCCGGATGTATGGGCATGTGTATCTACTTTTGTAGTTGCATATGTGCATTCATTTCAGGCCTGATGAAGCCAACAAACAAAAATACGCATCGCTGGGGTTCCTATTCTATTTTCTGCTCGAATTCACTTTCCTTCTTTTTGCGGGATTTGCCCATCATTTTTCTATTATCTATTATAGGTATCATCTATTTATGCATGGGGTATAATTTTCAGAATAAATGCAAGTCTGAAAAATATTTATATTGATACAAAATATATAAAGGACTTCAGAACATATTTGCTTACAAATACAAAACAGTTAACTCAAGATCAATGCTCAGTAACAACTTAATACTGAAAAACTCTTAAAAACTACATATAAATATATTACAAAATACACAAACAAAAAATTACTTAAAACTTGTAGATGTTGTACATAAGTTAAAATTAAAACATTATTATGTACTTAATTAACGCCCTGAACGCAATTTTGAACCTGCATGGTATGAAGGTTCAACAAAATAATAGATATCCACATCCAGATAAACTCATCCATTTACCTTAAATGAATTATAGACATTCCATCCAGAATTTGGCAAGAAAAGCAATTTTGTATACCAAAAACTATTAGTTCTATGTTTAACGAATGTACAGGGTCTCCTGTTAGGAAATGATAATATTGACATCCCTCGTAAGCTTATTTGTAAGAACATTTAGAAAAAAGTTTTATACAAAAGTTATAGGATCTAATACTTTTTTGCAATGTATTTTTTGTGTACGTATATGTATATTTTAAGAGAAAATGATTGGCGATTTTTTCCTGATTTTAAATATAACTGGTTTATAATTGTTATTTTCATTGCTTTCATCAAAAACATATATTTTGTGTATCGCTTATATGTTTATGCATATGTTGCATCTATATTATATTCGACTATAGTATTTAAGTTTTGACTAAAGTAATAAAAATAATTATAGCAAGCACTAAAAAGGGACAAGAAGGCATCGCATGAAAAAAAAAATATATAACTTTTGTAAGACACTTCTCTAACTGGTCATACAAGAAGTTAAGAGGTTAGGTAAATTTACAACGGGACTCCCTGTACAACGAATGATGAAACGAGTCTACATTGAAATATAACAAAAAAGTATAAGAAAATCATCAGTGCGTACATAAGAAACTTAATACAACATTTCTGGTTGAATCAAATTGAACTTAACAAATAAATTCTCTTCACATAACTCAATTGGTTCAATACAAATGTATATTCAGTCTGATGTGTTTGTTTGGGAGATGGACTAGAATTAACTATATGTAAATATCTCACAACATGGGTCATATTGGATCAGATTTTTGTATGTTTAAATAACTATATCAGAGTGAAATCCTCGCTTGGGGGGAATACTGTCATAAATAGCCAATACAAATTCCCTATATATGATTGGATTAATATTTTTACCAATCTTATACATCAAAAAGAAGTCCCCATATGAGAGATTATCGACAATTATCTCAGCTTTTTTGTGATCTAAATTTCGAGTCTGTGCTCTAAGCAGGTACACCCTGAACTTGTTTGAAAAAAGAAACAGAGCTCTATACATTATGGAAAAGAACGAAGCTATCAGGAGGAAAAACAACCAATACCATAACACCAGGAATAACTTTTCATTGAGGACGTTCAGCGGCAAAACACACAATGCATCAATGTTTACCTCTGAGCCAGAATAACCATATTTGTGGTAGGTGCACTTGGCTATTTTTGGAAAGACTACATTCATTGGATTGACAGTACTGTATGAAGCGTGCTGTACACCATAAGAGATGAAGTTACCTGTTATGAACCAGTCCATGAAGTAGATCTGTGAGACCTGAAACAAAACAATATTGATAACTATTTCAGGTAGACAAGAGAAGAATATTATGTGGGATCATTTTTATTATTCTTTCAATAATACATATTGGAAAAATTGCGCAAAAAAAACAAATTTGTTCCACCTCTGTTCAGACTTCAGCGCTTAACATAGCTGTATGACTATACTAGACATAGTTCCCTACAATTGATGTGTTTAGAATTTCTTTCAACACGAATATACAGGAAATAGTTCTGCTCTCTTTCAACCTGAATTTTCAATTAGCAACCTTGCATGTTTGCTGCTCATGCCGCCATTTCGGTATGAAAATACAATGCTGCATAAAATCGACTTTTCAACAAAAAAGGGTACCCCATTAAGTATATTCATACCGCAATATACAGGAAAACTAAGTTTGTCTGACGGCTTGAGTTCAATGTGTACGAGAGAAAAGCGCTTATCAACATAATTATGTTAGAAAGAGATAGAAGCCGGTTAAAGAGCGAAGGTCATCATCACATTGCCTAGCGACGGAGATGCAGAAGGTCGTGAAAATGTTCGCACGGGCTTCTACAATAAGTTAGGTTACTGTCAAACCCAAGAAGGTCGTGTGTTCGAACATTTATTTTAATATTCTGTTTTCATTTTCATTAAAATTACTTATTTCAATTTTGATGCGACTTAGTGTTTTGGTTTATTTTAGAATTATTTTTTTCCACCTGTGGTGATAAATCAACACCACCCTGAGTTATTGCTACATTTTGCGACAGCGAGCGGTTGGAAAATGAAATAAATACTGCGTGTACGCAGGTAAAAACCATTTAGAAGCTGGACGACACCCCAATGAGCGCTCATCGAAGATCATGGAGGTGGAAACATTGCTTTGGAGTGCACAAGATGCAGTGTTGTCAAACGAGCAAATGATGTGCAGTGTTGTAGAATTTTTGGTGATCTTGGCCGTTCATTTCAACATAAAATGTGTACGAACAAAATAAAACCATTATTTGGGCGTAGAGAACAAACTAACACATATTTTCAATATGCATCTAAGAAACTCATGCAACATATTGGCAACGAGGCAGATTGGACGGACTTCTGCATCACCGTTACTAGGCAATGTGGCGATGAGCTTCGCTATCCAGTCGGCTTCTATCTCTTTCTAACATATGTGCCTTACATATCTACTTCTCCCGCTTCTCTCTCGTACATATTGAACTCGCGCCCGTCAGCAAAATTTGGTCCTAACCGTTACTGTGTTGGTTTGCTATGACTGCTCTCATTATTTCACAAAAAAATATTGAGTATTCGATCGAGTATATTCCGTAATTTAATTGAAAGTATGGCTATTTTCATAATGGAAACTTGGAAGAAGAATACTGCCTAGTACCTGATTTGGAAATGAACATTTTTGCGCATGCTTTAGTATACCCTCAAGCTTGCGGCATCCGTACGCTGACAATATTCTACAAGGAAACGTAAATAACTTGAAGAGCGACTCGACGAAAGGATATTGTCAAAACGTGTCCAAAATACCCTTTTGGGCGTCTGTTTTCCAACATGCGCGAGCGTCAAAGGTACGAGATTGCAAAGTAATAATTCGAAAACAGCACTTCGAAATATATGTTTTTAAAGCTTTTCCATAATATTTTAAGGAAAACTGACAAATCATTGAACGAACGATTTCCCGTATATTAGTGTAATGTGTAAACTTTGCCATGTACGTATAGCATAATTATACATCCTACAACAAAACGCCTGGACACGTAAATGTTTAGAACATTTTCTTCAGAAAAGCTAAAATATATACTGAATAACTGTTTATGGGTGCCATTTATTCGATTTCAAAAAGAAGTCTACAGGTATAAGTATGTCATCTTTTCAGACTTTCTCGAAACATTTAAGGTAACATCCTTTTTTATATATATATACAGTGAAAGCTCTCCTTGCGGACAGCTCCTATAAGCGGACATCTCTTTTAAGCGGACAAAGTTCCTGGAACCGAATTTCAGCCATCAATTTTCAATGTTAAATCCATTCCGATAAACGGACGCTCTTATAAACGGACGCGGACACTAGATTTTCCTGTATGTGATCAAAAAATCTCCCATAAGCGGACGCGAAACTCTAATACCCGGACGATTTTTTAGTTCCGCTTATTGCAATGCACATATCTACATACATAAAATTCGGTAATCCCCCGATTTATATTAGGTGATTCCCCATTTACGCATTTCGTTGGGTAGCCTGTATGTAATCTTGTGGCTTGTCTTCAGTTCAGGCAAATTCGTAGTTGATTGAGTTACGTATTTTATTATTGTAACTGTAAAATGGCACCAAAAAAAAGGATGCTCTCATTAAAGGAAAAGATGGAAGTTGTTAACGTATTAGACAGAGAAAGTGTTTCAGTTCGTCATTTGGCAAAGAGGTTTAATATTGGGAAAACGCAAGCAGCTGAAATTGCCAAAAATAAGGAAGATATCAGGAGTAAATGGCAATCAGGAACTAATATAAATCAAAAGAAGGATTTTTTAAAAAAGGAAGGTTTTGCTATAGACAAAACATGTTTTGAGTGGTTTGTGAAAGCTAGAAGTCAGAACATTCCAATCTCAGGGCCGTTAGTGAAAATGAAAGCTAAAGAAATCGCCACTACTTTGGGCTATAATAATTTCAGTGCGTCCGACGGGTGGCTGCAAAAGTGGCGCAAGAGACATAGTGTGAGTTTCAAATGCATATCTGGCGAAGCTGCTGCCGTAGATCAAGTTGATGTGTCACAATTTTTGGAGAAACTTCTGTCCATGTTGCTTGGCTACAAACCAGAAGATGTGTACAACGCAGATGAGAGTGGACTTTTTTTTCGCGCATTGCCCGACAAAACTCTGTCCTTTAAAGGAGAAACATGTGTGTGTGGAAAGTTGTCTAAAGATAGACTAACCATTTTATTCTGTGCAAATATGGCCAGTGAAAAATGCGATTTGATTGTGATCGGGAAAGCGGCTCGTCCCCGTGCTTTAAAAAACGTTGCTATTAAGGATCTACCAGCGACTTGGAAATCCAACAAAAAGGCATGGATGACCCGAGAAATCATGTCTGAGTGGTTAGTCGAATTCGACCGGAAAATGAGAATCCAAAAAAGGCAAGTTCTTTTATTTTTAGACAATGCATGCTCTCATCCTCGTGATATGAAAATGAAAAATGTGAAAATTATATTTTTACCGCCAAACACAACTTCTGTTTGTCAGCCCATGGATCAAGGTGTCATACAGAACTTTAAATTTTATTATCGGCACTTGATTTTAAAACATATTTTAACAAAAATTGACGATGGTCAAAGCTTATCTGAGCTTACAAAGTCTATCAATGTGTTAGAAGCTTTGTATTTTATAAAAACAGCATGGAATAAAGTAAATTCCTCTACAATTAAAAACTGTTTTGGCAAAGCTGGATTCAGAAAAAGTGAATGTAGCTCAGAATATGCTGAGCAAAATTATTGCGATGCTGAAGACGATCTGCCCTTAGCGACACTTGCTCAGTTACTGCGACATGCCAAACATTTAGGAGTAGCAGATCCCCAGAAAGTAGATGATTTCCTGGCCATAGACAATAACATAACAACAGAAGAAAATGCCATTGGCAACTTTTCGAATTTGGATGTAGAAAGCCCAGGCCAACTTGAATATGGTAGTCCAAACGACTCAGAAGAAGAAGTGGAACTGGTGGACTCACTAAGCGGTTCAAAAACGATAAATTCATATGGGGAAGCTCTAAATCATATTTCTATATTGAAAAAATTTGCTAAAGATGATTTCACTGCATTTCAACATTTGAAAAATTTAGAAAGTTATTACGAAAATTGTCTCCTTCAGCAAAAGATGGTGAAATTTCGTCAGACAAACATTTTAAACTTTTTTCAACAAGCTAAAGAATAATGTTTTTTTTTAAATTCTCGTACCATGTATTTAAGCATTTATGTTTTTGTATGCGTATATGTACATATATTATATAGATATATAGCATAAATACATACTTTAAAAATGTGGCGAGTTTCTGTTTCATTTTTCTCATGATTATAATACCTCATTTCCTCATGATTATATACCCCGTTATTTATACTCTATACTTACATACTCTCTTTTAAACGGACACCTCCCATAAGCGGACAAAAGTTACGGAACCGTGAGTGTCCGCTTATGGGAGCTTTCACTGTATATATATATATATATATATCGAAGTAGCAAGAAGCCTAAATGCCGGAACACCGTGGCCGCTATGATGATCCCAAAGAAATTTTGTTAATACGATTTTTGAACTGCCTAAGGTTAGTAGAACTGGGAAAAGCTTCCTCTTATAGATTGTTCCACAATCTCGACACCCTCATAACAAAGGAGCGGTCGTATCGGCAAGTTCTGGAAGATTGTTGCGTCCCCAAGCAATGATAGCCTCCAGGTCTTTTGTCGGAGAGGAAATCGTCGCTAGTCTTCTTTTTTCCAGCTCAGCAGCAGAGATCGGCTTGTCACTCTGAATACCTGCATGTATAGTGCTGTCATCAGCGAAGCTGTGGATTGGGTTGATCGTGCAAGAAAGAAGGTCGTTGATATGTACGAGGAAGAGTGTCGGAGCCAAGACCGATCCCTGGGGAACACCCGCGTTGACGTTGTGGGATGAAGATGAGAACCCGCCAATTACGACGAATATCTTGCGGCCAGAGATAAAGTCAGCCACTCATCTGCAAAGCTTTTCAGGGAGGCTATAGGATGGAAGTTTGCTTAAGAGTGCAGCGTACCACAGCTGATCGAAGGCTTTGGTGATATCAAGAGCAACGACATCAGCCCCACCATAAAACTGGTTGAGTTTACTCCACAATTGCGTGACGTAAGCTAGGAGGTCCCCTGTGGATCGCTGGTGCCGGAAACCATACTGCATGTCGCTAATCAAACTGTGACGTTCCAGGTAGTCCAAAAGCTCGCGACTTATGCACCTCTCCATCACCTTACTTATATCAGAAAGCAGAGGTATAGGCCTGTAGTTGTAAGGGTCGGTCTTAGATCCTTTTTTTGGGATGGGTTGGACATGAGCAAATTTCCAGTTTTCTGGGAAGGTGCCGGATTCACAAGATATCTGGAAGAGACGGGAAACTTTGTTGATGTCGAGCGACAAGAGCACTCGCCTTACGGTCTTATGCATGAATCTTACTTCCCGCATAGTGTAGGGAACCCTTTGAATTGACGGCATTTGAGCGTTGGGGGAGACGTCCATGGTGGAGTTGGTAGCAAAGATCTTGACAAGCACTTCCGCCTTGGCCTTTGAGTCGGATACAATCGTTCAATCCTGACACGTAAGTGGTGGAAGGCTACTGTGTGAGAAGTTCTTTTCAATCTGCTTGGCCAGCGTCCATAAAGACCGACTGCCATTGCGCTGCGACATTATCCTATGCCTAACTTTCAATATCCTGCTGGTTTTTGGCACTGCGAACCGCTCCGTTATATTTGTTTCTGGACTCGACGTCGGCTTGTCTGTTTTCTGCAGTGGGGTTTTATAAGAAGGTTCTGTGTGCCTTGATCGTCTGCTGACGAGCAGTGACACACCATTTGTTAAACCAGCCGTTGGACCCTGGTTTAGTCACTTTCACTGTGTGAGGGATGTATTCCTCCATTCCGACGTGTCCATAATTTCGGTTATCGAAGAACAGACAGCCGACGCATCCGCGTCAGTGAAACAAACATCTCTCCAAGGAAAGGTAGAGAAGAAGTTCTCTGAGCCTCTCCCAGTCGCCATGTCCGTAATGTCAAGTTTTGCGGCCTGTACGAGTTTCTGCTGCCACAACATCAGTACTGTAAGGGACAGGATGCGTGGTCAGAAAGAGATCCAGCATGCTACTGGCATGTGACGAGACGCAGGGGAAAAAAGTAGGGCTCGTCACCAGCTGGGTCATCCCTTAAGTAAGAGAGAACAGTGAGAAGAACTTCCTCTGAAACGGGGTGATTGATGTTCAGGAAGTCGATCTTGACGGCGAGGTATTCAAGTAGTTCATCCCAGTTACGGTCCGAGGGAGAGCGATAAAGGCAGCAAATAAATTTGGGTGATGTTTTGAAATTGAGGCGAGGCCACAGAATTTCCTTCCGCTCTGATTCCAAAGAACCATCTCTGGAGCAGACTGCTGCGGACAAAAGCCACAACTGCCCCGTTCTTTCTCACATTGGAGAGCACTTCGTAATTTGGGAAGTTAAGATGGTTAATCGGTGCAGACTCCGAGATTTTTGTCTCCGCCAAGAAAAGCATGGCGGGACGATTGGACTGCAGGTAGTGATGAACAGCAACAACGTGGTACCGTCTCGGTCGACTGGTCCTTGTCTAAAACCTCCTTTTTGCATGTTAATGATATTATATAGACCTAAAGTGGCCCGTTGGAGGACTTGTAACGCCACCCGGCAATCGGTACAGAGGTATTCCTTAACGCGTGTACAATCACTTGAACGGGAAGAAGTTATATAATGGACAACTTCCGGAACAAGCATTTGCCACGGCCCCGCTCAGTAGGGTGTCCTTTCCGCACACCAAGTAATTGTACTACAGGATGCTTGAAAGACCCTTGTTCTACTGGCAGCCATAAATATTGATCTGCCTGGAAACCGCAGGATAAGTTTCAGATAGTTTAAGTATTCTTGAACTCACCACATTCACAAAATTCAATATTTCACAGCAGCAGAATCTAATAGCATATATCTTATCAAAATATCCACCAGTTAATAAGCATCTCACAAGTTTGTCTCTTGTCGAACTATTCCAGTTAGATGAAATCAGGGGTCCACCTAAAATGCAATCATAAATAAGTAATAAGATCTATACAGGTAATTACTATGAGGTGCTTACAAGAAAAATTAAGAACGTGGTAAAATAAACATTTAAAAAAGGGCATATCTCTGGTATACACGGTGTTACAAAAGTTAACAGCAATATTTATAAGGCAGAAATTAGGTACAAAAATAGCAAAAAAACTTATAAAACAACAAGGTGATAAATTATAATTTTAAAAATGATGAAAAAAGTGTATCTCTGGAGTGGAAAAAAGTTTCGACCTTAAAATTGTTTACATGAACAGAGCATACAAGCTTTTACGTCCCTACGCTAGTGGCGTGGGAATTAGGATATTCTGACATACAGGAAAATAAAAATATTATCGATGTTACTGAATGTTCAGAAACAACAAATCTATTGCCGTTTTCAAATGAAGTATGTGATTTTACATAAACTGTTTGCCTTAGGAAATGTTTGTCATATCATTCCCTTTAAGGGAAAATCGCTTTAAAATATTTGAGAATCAGTACAAAAATCCTTTCTACTTTAAAAATAAAAATATGCGGTATATTATAGGAGTAATCCCAGGTATCATCAGTAGCCTAGATATTTACAACACCCTGTATATTGATAATTTTTTGATAAAAAACTTTGTTCTTTTGGGATATAACTTCCTAGTCAAGAAATATTGCCTTTGTTTTTCAATCATTCTATATTGCCACATTGTCAAGTATGTTATATGTTTTTGTGTGAAAAAATATACATATTTTATATCTTCAACAGTAATGCAGTTATTTTCTAATGTTGTGCTGAAAAAGTCATAACAATCATATTATTTGTATAACATTGATGGAGACTGTAGGCATTTGAGACAATTCTCAGAGGGCTAACTGGAAAACATCTTGCTACTACTATAGAACCAGAAGGTCAGATATTGTCACGACCATTTGAACAAAAACAACTGGAGCTAGCATAACCTCATATTTGGGCTGCTCTGGGAATATCCAGCTTTTTGATAAATGGCTAGCTTCATTCTCGAAGGTTTTGATGCTTTTCTGTCATTATTTTGGACTCTCTCTCTCTTTCCCCGACATCCTGGTGATACTGGTTAAAAAGACACCTCAATGATGTGTAACCAATTATTGTTTTTCAATAGAAATTTACACAGTAGTTGAAACAACATGAAAATACCAGAACTACAGTTGTAAGGAATATGGGCTATCATTATTTATTTTTGATGCTCCTACTATCAGTTATTTGACTTTACCTAGCTAATTCCTTCTACATTATACCTCAATCATACTTACTTAAATCTTCAACCAACAGTCTTAGTCGTCCACCCTCCCATGATTTCCACAAAAATCTGGGTACATAGAAGAGGACTGCTTGTATACCAAAAACAATACATATCCACTGATAATAGACTTGCCTCCCAGATGAGTTTGGACCTTCAACACCCAGCCCAGGAATTCTTCTATCTGTAGATCAAAAAACAACTTACTACCTTTAGACTAATGTAAATAGTAATTCTACATATTGACATTTCAAGTTTGTATGCATGTATATGTAGGTAGCTTCTGAAGCTCTCAGAAATTTTTGTTGTTACACCTAAGTAACACTGATTCGACACAGATTAAAAAATAGGTATCTCTAAAAAGTTATATTATTTTCACTACACCCTAGAGTAATAAAAAATGAATGACAGCGGTGGCCGCAGTAGTAGACTCTTCGGTCTCCTGATCAGTCGCCGTGCGCTGTGCGGGTTCGAGTCCCGTCCCAGGAGAAATTTTTCTCTTGGCTATGGATGTTGTGATTGTCCGTAGGTGGTAGACGGTCTCTGACTGTCGAACGCGGAGGTACCACCCGGCGGATCTCGTAGGCGGAGCCAGAATGTGTGCATATTGCATGTACACGTGTTCCCTCGCCAGAGTCCGTGTGGCGTTCCCCCTTTCCCATGTATCCCCCTATAGCCCCACGGTACCCAATGGGTGCTTAGGCCTTAGGCCTTTGTGGTAGTTGGAGTATAAAAAAAAAAACAAAAAACAAACTTGTGAATTTTCTCAACAATAAACATTTTCAACATTTTTTTTATAATATGGTTCTTAAAAGTTCTCAAAAATTTTAAAACCTACAGAGCTTTAGTGTCCATGGAATAGTAATGATATTATGTCAAAATTTCATCAAAAGACAGAAAGAAAGGTATACAACTTGTTCAAGTGTTTTTTTCATGATTTTCACTTTTCTAAAACAGTTCGATTTCCAAAATTTTTGCCATTACCAACATTCCCTGCCCTATTGGCATGGAAAGTAAAGTGATAAAAATTGCAAAAATAAACAATACTGTATTTGATATTGGGGTGTCCAAGGTAAGGATCCTATGCATGGGGATAGCAATACCTGTGACAGACATAGCTTAGGTTAAATTAGAAAAAACCTGCGTATTTACATTGCATTCAGAAACTTGTAAAAATTTCATGGCTTACCGAGATATTTGGGCAAAAATAAAATTTGACCGTTTTTATTTTTTCTGACTCTATTGTGACTTTTTAGGTACTACATGATGGTGTTTTTAAATTTTATGCCTAACGTCTCGTTTTTGAGAAACCATCAACATCATTTTTTATATGGTCCAAAAAAAGTACACCCTGTATCTGATCTCTTTTTCTATAAATTCAATAATGTATCACATGCCACATCTGTTTTCCGAGTTATAAAGAAAAAGTGTTTCTTTTAAACTTTTTTAATTTCATTTCAGTATGGATTGCAAACAAATGCTTGATGTATTCCTACGCATAGGATCTTTATCTTGGCCACCCTGTATAGTGTCAGGACAATATTTTCAAAAATGACTCTCAAGTAGATTGACTACAATTGCCAGCACATACCTTCAAAACAACTTCTAGTACAACATTCCATGTAGTGAAATGGCATCAAAGAGTCACTAGCCTTTATGAAAAAAATCCTCAGATTGCAGTAATGAGTGTAACTGTACATGGTAGCCTAATAAGTACTGTTTGTCAACAATGTTTGACAACCGATTATAATAGCTGTTGATATGCACTTATATACATAAAATTACACTGAAATCATATATCTAGGATTTGTGAAACATGTCTGATATCATTATTAAACAAAGAGTCATTTATCATAGGGTTTTAACTTTATTTAGGGTTTAACCCTCCTATACCCGCGCGCGGTGTCACAGATCGAATGTTTGGAACCCGGTTTTATATTTTCATCCATCAGAACCTGTATAAATAACAGCAACACAAGCATCTTGCACAAACGCACGGTGTACCTACACTAAAGCGAAAAGTCAGCAACAAATCAGGCAGCTAGCAGAAATCTCGATTCGCTAGCGATTCCAGGAAAATAATATTACTTGAGTGTTCCGTCGGAGCGGGTATAGGAAGGTTAAATAAATGTGGCTAACCCAAAAACTAGAACTTTCTCCTAAGTTACATGTGGCAAATAAGGTGCACTATTAGCCCTTCAAAGGTGTGTACTGACATTTCAAACACGTTATAGGTTTCAAGAGTGGTGTAAAAACACTGAAAACATCCAAGGTTCGAAAAATCTCGAATGTTTAATAATCTCAAAATATACAGATATACAAAACAGTACTAATGATATACAATCAAATTGAAGAAAGTCTGACAATGTACTTACGTTCTACTGTGTCTTTATTGATAAATGTCCCTAAGATCCAGCAAAATGTATCTATAGTTTCTTTTCTATCTTCTACATCACAATCGATTGGATCTCCAAAATACTGTTTACTACTCAGCAAGATTGTAAATGTTAACAGCATCGCTACTGTAACTTTATAATGTAATTTAAATAAATTATTATCTATATTTATTTGATCCCTGTGGACAACAGTTCTTAAAGATGCTAACAAGTCAATCATCTTCACTGATCACTAATGTGTTAAAAGAATTTCTTGAGCTATAGCAGACATAAACTGTAGAAAAACCAGAAATGAAAAAGTTGAAAAAGCGTCATTAACTCATTTCTAGAGGAATGCAAAAAATTGTCCGTTTACGAGTAAACGCACAACTTGTCATTTGTCGTATTCCGCAACATCAGAACTACTATTCGAATGATCTACTTGTAATTCTTATACCAAAAGACGATTTTTTATGTAATTACAGGCTCACAGACATTGCATTTGAATGCAAATACGAAAACATATGGTAATTCATAAAGGGACTATAAAACAGTTTAAGCATTTCAAAGTTTTACATTTTTTGAATTACTTCACAAAAAATTACTGCGCTGTTGGTAGAAGTTGCTGTCATGATATTCATGGCACAAGGCCTAAGACGGAAAGAACGCCTGCTCAGAACAATTCGATGGGCAACACAACACGTATGACATTTGCTGCCGTGTTTTTGCAGTGAAGCTTTACCTATCACTACTGCCAATTGCACTATTTTTCTTTTCAAAATTGATATTTCATTTGTTTTTCTTAAAAGCAGATTTGCGATTAAGAAAGACAAATCAAATATAAAATTGTATTCTTTACGCTGCGGTAAATAAAATTAAAACAATATAAGTGACTATTGTCATTTATTTCAGATGTGATATATTACAATAAAACAAGGATAAATACGTTTCATAGAATTTTAATTATCATGCTTCTCAGTTAGCTCAGAATGGATTATTATCATATATGTAAGTTTGACTACCACAATCCTAATGAAAAACATATGACAGAGCTTTTGCGATTTCATTGGGAAAAAGCATTGACCTAAGGAGGTACAGATGAGCAAGTTTTACTCTCATGTTTAAGATAACATTGGTCGCATTCAATTTACTCAGAATTTCACATACGCTCACATTACTTCAGTTCACTCAGTTTATTCCAGGTGTATTTTACTAAATTAGCTAACTAGAGAAAAAATATACTGTTTGTGTAAGATGGAGTCTTAGTTCTCATTTTGTATCAGGAACTACGCCATAAATCACTTGGTTTGACTACAAACACTTATTTTTTATTTGTGTCCGAACACTGAATTAGCGAATTCGCGGCCATAATCATATAACGCACTAATGAAAAATAAGCATTTGCGCCATACTCCAAGCATGTGTGATAAATAAAATTACAGAATGCTCAGAATCAATTTACCTACCTACTTACTGTTAACAGGAACATGACGCGCGGTTTACTGGACGGTAGGCGTGATTTCTAAACCTGCTACACTTGTGAATGGCTGCTTTGCGATTGGTCCGGGTAAAACACATGAGCAGAAAATATTAGAAATTGACTTTTACGATTTTGATGTTTGAGGTTAGAATACAAGGCGGGAGTTTAATTTTGTGATTTTCGTCCTGCCACTAGGGATTATTATTAAAATTTCAAAAGTTTCAATACTCTCATAAAATATTTGTGACGTTTGTAACACTCTGCAAGTAGTAAATACTGAATAGTGTGATTTCATGCCGTGTCATTTTAAACACTTAAAAATGGATTTTAGTTCTGTTTTAAACACTGATCATAGAGAAATTGTAAGTACTTTGTAGCAAATCATAAACTAGGAATACCTACCTACTGAAAATTTAGGGGTGGCAGGATTAATACTATTTTTTGTCTTTATTTGTAGTTGCATAATATGTTGCCTACAGGTGATGGTTTTGAAGGAATTGTTCTAAGTTCAGAACCTTTGACTAATGGATTTTCTACAGTAATTCGTTTGAATATATGTAGCAAGGAGGAATCTTTTCGATGGTTGGGGCTTTTCCAAGAAAAAAGCAAAATTTCTTTCAGGCTAGAGAGATGTCATGCAGAGAATACCCAAAAAATTATTTTTAAGGTGTATATTTTTTATTGTGGCTAATATTATTTAGTTTTAATTAGCGCAACTATTTTCAACTTCAGTAATATGTTAATGTTTAACAAAACAATCATACCATTATTTACAAAATATATTCAATTTCAGAAGGAATACCATTGCATTCATAATACAAAACCAAAACGAAATACTAAGCCTCATGAAAAGCATCTAAATTGTAATGCCAAAATCATTGTAACCATTAAAAACAAGGAAATGAAAAGGTAATAATACTTAAAAGTAACTTTAAAAGAATGCTTAATTATTATTTTTTGTTTTTCAGAAGCAATGATGTCTTTTTAAAGAAGTACCCCTGTGAAATTTTTTTAAGGAACACCCATAATCATTCAATATATACTTCATCAGCACTAAAGTTTTGTCCCCCTTGTCAACAGTTGCAGGAAGAATTTAAATTATTATTCACTAAAGGACATTCACCAAGCACAGCATACAGTCTATTTAAAGATGAATTATATGAAAACCACAATCAAAGGTACAATGCAATTGTAGCTGATGGCAGTATTTACTGGCAAATGCCCAACACTGAAGTGGGTATATGATCTGTACAGTCACGAAATCGCCAATAGTTTCAATCACTTCTATATAGAGAGCATAAATGAGCTAAGTACTATACCTGATCCAACAGAATGTGACAGAATGCTTGACAGTATAGTAACACCATCTAAAAAATTCACAGTGTTCAAGATATTACAGATATCAGAACTTAGGAAAATTGTGAATGATCTGAAAAACAAAAAAAGTAGCACTGATGGAATAAACACAAAGATATTGAAGCTCTCATTTGAAGCCATTGGCAATCGTTTCTTGGATGTAATAAACCAAAGCTTACAAACTGGGTCATTTCCAAGTGAATGGAAAATGTCAACTATTATTCCCATGGAAAAAGTTAGTGGAACTATTCAGTGTGAAGAACATAAACCAATTAATATGGTACCAGCATATGAAAAACTTCTAGAAACGGCAGTTAATATCCAGGTTCGAGATTATGTGAGTGCAAGCAATATTATTACAAACTGTCAAGCAGGTTTCCAAAGTGGTCACTCATGTGAAAGTTCTCTACAGTCAGTGATATCTAACTGGAAATCTTCATTAGACAACAAAAAAATGGTGGGCGTGGTTTTCTTGGACTTTCGCAGAGCATTTGAAACTGTTAACAAAGAATTACTAATTGGGAAGTTACAAAGGTATGGCTTTCAAGGTAAAGTCCTAGGTTGGTTTTCACAATACTTGGAAATGAGATCTCAAAAAACCAAATATTTAGAATCATTATCTGAATCTAAGATCAATGTACATGGTGTTCTACAGGGTACTGTGCTGGGCCCAGAATTGTTTTTGTTGTACATAAATGACATTGTTAATATAATTAAGAAGTGTGAAATTCAACTCTTTGCAGATGACACTATGATTTTTGTTAAGGGTGATTCAGTGGATTATATAATAAACTTTTTAAATGAAGATTTAAATAATATATATAAATGGTTGAACAATAATAGTTTAAGTGTGAATGTAAATAAAACTAAAATGGTGGGTTCATGCACGATTTAAGCTAACTTAACTTAAGAAAATGAGCATTTCATGCGCATGCGCGGCCAGGATTGCCAACGTAGCAGTTGAGGCAACATGAAAGTTAAATACCCTTAAATAATCATATGTTTAACGTCAAAGTAGCAGATGAAAGAGTGTTTTGTGGCTTATGTGTCACGTGGACTGGCGGACCAGCCTTGACGTTGACAAGTGGCCCCTCCCCACACGCTTGCGCCAATGCAGGTCACAGAACTCGGATAATAGTCCAGATAATATTGGAACATCTGCTCGGAAAACTCTTCCGATTCCTATTTTTGCATAATCTGATTCAAAGACCTCTTAAAGAATCTGCATGTGACTAGGCCCAAAATTGCTCCAAAAATTGTTATTAAACCGATTCCAAAAATTGATTTGTTCGCTTTGTTTAAAGTATTTTGCGGTTTTTAGGACATTCTAAATAAAAAATGAGCTTTAGAACTTTCCTCTAGACTTGATATATACAGGTATAAGCAATGAAAAAACTCAAAATATGTCATTTGCTACCCTAAAAACAATATGAAAAATGAATATTTTGTTGTTGCCAAATCTCACACATGCTTCAACCAACCAATAACAAAACCCCCAGAGCATTTGAATGCGCGCTCAATGTATAGTCTATGTCTATGTGAACGCGAGAGAGATGAAATATCTCTCGTGCACGCTGAATATGCATTGAGCGTCCGCTTGCATATAAATTAAATACAAAGATTTATAATAACAGTATCTCCTAAAAGGTATCGTTAATGGTTATTTATGAAGCATGGCGACATTAACATTTTCGTTTTTTCAGATCGTTTTTCGGTATCGCAAAATCAATTTTTTGTACTTTCCCATCTCGTACAAAATCAATTTTTGACAAACATTGTCAAACATCATTTTGTTTCGGAGTATCAAAAAAACGAATGCTACCTTTGATGAAGCGAAAACATTAATTTTTGTAATTTATTTGAAAAAGTTGTTCAAACAATTAGAGACGCAATTTGGAGCCTGACAACATGTAGATTTGTTACTAGGAGGCTTTTTCGAATAACATGCAAAAAGCCCGAATCCGAATATTTTCCTGAGCAGATGTGAAGATATTTCTTGGACTATAACCTCGGCGGCAGCGCCACTTTTCTTGGCTGGAAATCTGGTGGAACTATAAATATTGAAAGTATGCCGACAACGCATATCAGGAATGTCAGGAATGTGTCGGCGATTTCATTTGTTTACATTACGAAATCTGGCTGACGACCGATATTGAGGCAGTTCGATGATCATAGATGCCTAACACATCCTCAATAAAGGGAGTATTTCTTTCATCAGTTTGACTAGTAATGAATTTCAGGATAATAAAAAAATGTATAATTAAAAAAATATTTACTGAACAGTCACAGCAATAATAGAACAAATTCTTCATTACAATAAATTGTACATACATAGAGGTATTCCACTCATCTGGATTTTTCTCTATATTATGAACCTGATCAGTGCAATATCATGCAAGCACTATCTCTTGTTAATTGATCAGGTATATTTATTGCGAAAACATAAATACTAAAATAACAAAAAATACATCTGTAGGTAGAGGACTGACTGGAATACAAATATAATCACTCTGATATGTGAATCAAAAATAGTTTTGCGCACACTGTTTAATGGGTAAAGGCAAACAAAATTGTCCTCAACAAAAAAAAAACACATAAAACAGTAATTGTTTCTTCAAACTAGGAAACAAACTCTCATTGACAATTAATTTGGTATCCATAAAATAAATGATGATCTTCATTCCAACTGTCTCCTCGAAGGATTTTGACACTGTGAAACAAAAAAAAAAAATTATTAGCCTAATATCACTGTCATATTTGGTCAGCAAACACTAAACAGAAACATAGTCATCTCATCACGCCCCTTCAGATGATACTGCTCTGTACATATGTATAAATTCCCAATCTAGCAGTATACATTTGATTGCCAAAATTCTGTGTTTTAAAAAAAAATTTTTCATTGGTGATACCAAACGCCAGTCCTTAATTTGGCCCTTTACCAGGTTTGTTATTACCAACAGTACAGATGTCACAAAAAAAGTTACGTGCTACTCAATCTGTTTACCTCAATAAACGTCAAAAGAGATTACATATTTGGTGGGCTGCGAATACACAGCATTCGTCAGGTGTACACCTGGTTTGTAGTTAATGACAAAGTACCTTCACAGTGTTCTGTCATCTATCAGCTATGAAGTCAGTACTACAAGCACAAAATTTTAAGATCATTTCCATTTTTTTTTTTCGTTCTCTAGAATATAACTTCAAAATCCTCTATCTTGGTATTTTTTCATGCTGTTTTTTGATCTAATTTATGAAGGAAACATGACCACTGACTTTAATTATTATAATTTTTAACATACATGATTTTTTTTATCAATCCGCCCCGATGTTCAGCTCTAAACTGTCATGCGTAAGCAAGCGCAAATAATTTTTCATACAAGTATCACCGAACCATCTGCCCATACAGCGATATAAAATCGATCAAACATCACGATATAAATATCGACTATCGACTTTTGTACAGTATCGATGGCTCGTAGCCATCTTCTAATTCCAGATGTAGCGATCAGCTGACCAACGCTAGTGATTTGATTGGTTGGTTTTTAAGGAAAAGTTCAATATATTGAACTTTAATTTAAGAAGTGACCTTGAAATTAAGAAAACGACCATAACCTCAATATATTTTGTCATTTATGCAAAAATGAACTGATTTGGATACTTACTGCAACGTCATCATTAGGCGCTCCTCTGGCGATGTCCGATTGCGTTCAGGTGACTTCTGCAGGTACCTCTTCAACAAGGTCAGGAGTTGATACCACCGCGGCTTTTCGTTATTTTGCTCTAGGCATGGCCATCCTCAATTAATCGCACAAAAAACAAGTCAAAGGCAGAAAAACACACCCGAAGCCGAACACCAAAACAAATCTCTACCACAAATTCGTCAACAACTCAAACAAAAACAACAGATGAGTCACTGCCTGGCTTTCTGGGTAAATCGTCGTGGAACACGGGACACCACAGAATTATTATAATTACGTCAATACGAGCATAGAACAGTATGGAAAGGGCTATCCAAGGGTAAGACGAGTTCCGAAACCACCCGAATCATGTCAGAAAATGGGTGTGACGTCACCAAAACGTTTGACCACCACTGGAAGTCACTAGCTAGTTACTATCTGGAGGCGTAACATGTGGAGGACACTGGTGTAGAAACAGCTGATCCTTAAGTTCGGTTAGTTTAACCCGGCATCCGACAGGTGAAATTTTATTACAAGTTACGACAGGTGGGGTGTGACAAACCCCAAATATAGACAGGCTTTTTATTTACTAGTTTTGTTTGTTTTATTACTTTCATGATTCAAATATCATTTAACATTGTATATATTAATACTACTCGTATAACAACAAAAAAAAAATCAATCTGAATATACACATAACGAGTTTATTTGAAATTACATTTTTTTTTATTGGAACATAGGAACAAATTTCTAATTTCATATAAAAATTAAAAAACTTGCAGTATATATTATATTTTTGCTAAACATGAAAGAAAACAATCTATACTTTTATACAGAGAAAACCGAATAAGCCTAAATGGAACAGAAACATTTTTATTCATTGCTAACTTCAGCACAATTTTTACAAAACTTAAGCGCATGTTCAAGGCAAATAAATGTTTCACAGGTCTGACAAACGTATCTGGTCTTTCTGTCTTTAGTTCGGGAACATTCTGAACACCTCCCTTGTTGATTTGGTCTCATCTTTTTCGATGCAGGTTCAGGATTTTCACCCAATATTTTCCGAATATTCCCTCTTAGCTCCCTTGTTAGCCTAGGGTTTGTCATTCTACTTCTTTGAAATACCTCTGCCAACTGTATACCCAACTGCTTCAAGAAAATTCTTCTTGGTAATTTGTTGTTAGTGTTCTCTCTATATATAATATAACTGTTAATGCCTGCAGTATTTAGTAGGGAAAAAAATAAAGTTAAAGCCAACGTCGACTATTCCTCGAAACATTGTATGATGCAGATAACTCGTCTACTACATCAACGCCACACTTGGTAAAGTTATAAAAAGATATTATTTCTGGAAGTTTTTTCTCTGACTCATCTACTGCATCATCATGATGTAAAGAAGATAATAGCAGTACAATTTTGTTTTTTTCGGGCAATAGCTAACCAAAGTATATCCTTCCTGGAATCCAAATAAGCTAGAATGAACTTCTCGATTATTCACATTCAAAAAAGGTGCTGGTAGACATGGTTTATTTTTCCGTATAGTTCCCACCGCAGTCAGTTTGTGATCCTTGCGTAGATTTTCTAAAAGTTCAACACTGGTATACCAATTGTCGAAAGTAATGTTACGGTTCGTTCCTGAGACTGGAGCCACTAAGCGGCTCACTATGTCCTTAGGACTATTGCTGACATTAAATACTCCATCGGGTTGCTTCCCCACATAAACTTCCATATTGAGGAGATAATTGGTTCGCGCATCTACTAAGGTGTGTACTTTTATGCCGTATTTTGCCGGCTTATTTGGCATGTATTGTCTGAAGGAGCACCTGCCACGAAATGACTCCAGTTTTTCATCGATTGTAAGATACTGAGACGGCGAATAAGCCTTCTGACAGTTGTCAACAAATCTATCGCAAACAGCTCTAATAGGGGCCAACTTATCCAATTTAACCCTATCTTTGCGATTATTTTTGTTGTCGAAACGTAAACAGGAAATGAGGAATTCAAATCGCCTTTGACTCATAGTAGCCGGAAATATATCCATACCAGTACCATCGGTATTCCATAGCTCATATAAAAATCGGTGGTTATTTTTGAAAACTCCTGATAGGTACAAAAGGCCGAGCACTGCTTTAATTTCTGCCGGATTGGTTTCTCCATAATGGGGAGATTCCTTCCATTTCTCAGATTTTTCTATGATTCTTAGATTCGTATTTTTAACTATATCTACGATCATTACCTCATCAATAAAGAGGAAAAAGCATTCAAGTGGAGTTTTAGCCATTTTTGCATGGTTTTTAACTCCTGGAAGATGGGTTATTATGTTTTCAGATCTAGTTCGAACATTCCTACTAGGGCACTCTTTGAACCATTTCATCCCGTTTTTTCCAAGAAAGAAACTACGTGTGTCCAAGACCTCGGCTTGTGTTTCATCGCCTTGATCTTCTACAACTTCAGGATTTTGCTCCAAATCGGGATAGTCGCTGCAAACACTTACATTATCTATTTCATCTTCTTCTTCTGAATCGTCTCGATCGATCGCTTCATCTTCATTCTGTACTTCCTCCCAAAGTGCCCAAAGCCTACGTTGCTCCTTCTCGTAATCGCCCATATTTTTTTATAGTTCTGAAATACTGTTTAAAAATGTAAAGTTTTAATTAAAGAGTTATATAAAATGCGACTTACCTTTATAATCACGACAAAATGTGAAATAAAACAACTGCAAAAAACTTCCGAGTTCCGACACGTGGGGTATGACAAACCCCAAACAATCCTATGACGATACTACTCACTAGGCGTCAGCAGACCAACTGCCGCATGTGACTCGTATTACTTATTGGAGTGTCCTTGAAAGCTACTGAGGCGCTGCCAGCAGTCGGCGTGAAATTTTAATAGATAACTTGTAAAATCCGATCGTTGGGGTTTGTCACACCCCACGTGTCGGATGCCGGGTTAAGTCGTGCATGAACCCGACGTAAATGTATGATATTGAAATCTAAGCATAATGTAACTAACACATACAATAACAAAGGTGTAGTAATTAATGGTAGTAGACTAGATCAAGTTGATGAATGTAAATATTTAGGAATAATTATAGATGAAAATTTAACGTTTTCAAAACATGCAATTTATATAACCAAAAAGCTATCAACGAAAGTGAATTTATTATGTAGAATGGGGAAAGACCTGAGTGTCTGGGCTAAATTAATTATATATAAGACGATAATCCCACCACATTTCAGTTACTGTGCAACAATCTTGTATATGTTTAAGAAAGGTGATATTGATATTATTCAAAAAAAAAAAACAAAACCAGGCATTGAGAAGTATTTTGGGATGGGGAAGATACGGTAGAATTAAAGACAAGCTGACATCTACAAATTTATTAAGTGTAAGCCAGGAGATCTTTTATAACACTATGGTGGTAGTATACAAAATAAGGAATAGAATGTACCCAGAGCATATTATTAATAAATTAAAAATGGTCAGCAATATACATAGTTATAATGTTAGATCTAATTCCAACTTTTATGTGTCTCGGGTACAATCTTCCTTTGCCCAAAACAGCTTATTTTATAAGGGCCTTGTAGATTTTAATAGGATTCCAGAAGAAATTAAAACTACAAATTTTGTTAACTTCAAAAGGCATTTAAAAAAATATGTAATAGAAAATTGTAGTTTATAAGTTTATATCCAAATGTTTTCTCTATTAGCTCATTGCTATGAAATAAAGATCATCATCATCACTATAGGCATGATCTGACAGCCGAAGCCTTTTTGGAGGTCTGCCACTTTGAGCAATATTTCTTCCCCCTAGTCCTGATTTTCGTCTCATTATTGCTGTTGGCTGCACGCCTATTCTATTTCCACCCTGAATATTTTTTCCTGATTTAATTTTAGGAAGTCCTGTCCCGTTATATTTACCAAACGTACACAATGCACTTGTAAGGGATGAATTTGTTTTACAGCATTTCACATTCTTTAAAAATTTTAAAATAGTTTGATTGCATTCATCAAAATTATTTTCAAACCTGTTCATAAGTAAATCAACAAAATGTTCAAGTTGTCCACGGATTTTATCTTTTTCAATAGTTGATATCGGTGGAATATCATTAAAATTAATGTCAATATTGTGCAAATCTGGAGAGCTACAACTGGGTACCTCAATAGCTGATAAATTATTATAAATTTTGACAACTTCATTAGCTTTGGTGTCATTCAAATTTAAGTACCATCCTTCTATTTCACAGTTAACACCATAAACAACCTTATGCAAAAGTTCTTTGAAGTCACTATTAATTAAAGTAGGATGGAATTGCTGCGAATTTAAGCCAAATTGCGTTACAACAGCCAATTGGTGGAATGATGCCATTTAAGTAACATAACATAGTCAGGTGCGAAAAATTACATCAGTTAGGTAGCGTCCATTCTTGTCGATGCATTCTTGGAGACGAATTGCAAAATCATCCATACTCCTTTCTAGCATGGCACGAGGAATCCTTTCAATTTCGCGCGTTATGAGTTCCGAAAGAGCCTCAAGAGTTTGCGGTTTGTCTATGTAAACTTTGGATTTTAAATAGCCCCATAAAAAGTAGTCACAACATGAAAGGTCTGGTGACCGAGGTCGCCATTCCACATTTCCATGCAACGAAATAAGGCGCCCAGAAAAATGTTCCCTTAAAAAGCCCATTGCAGCTCTTGATGTATGGCAAGTCGCCCCATCTTGTTGGAACCAAACTGTATTGATGTCAATGCGTCGTCTTCTTAGTTCGGGCAGAAAATAATCACGCAACATGGCGCAATAACGATCTGAGTTCACTGACACTGTTCGTCCGTTTTAACGAAAAAAATACGGGCCAATTATGCAATTTCGAGATACGGCACACCAAACAGTTACCCTCTCAGAGTGCAGAGGTTGTTCATGCAGTTCTCGTGGGTTTTCGTGTGCCCAGTATCGGAAGTTTTGTTTGTTTACCATGCCCGATAAATGAAAATGGGCCTCGTCACTCATGAACAAAACGATGTTGCCGTGCAGCAATTCCAGCATCCTTTCTGCGAACCTGTGTCGTCTCACAAAGTCATTTTGGAGCAGCTTCTGCACAACCATAATTTTATACGGATGGTAATGGAGGTCCAAATGCAAGATTCTCCGAACTGAACGATCTGGCATTCTAGGAGCGCGAGCGTGACGTACCGCTGAACGGTGAGGGCTAGTATCCACCGCTTGTTGCACTCTTTCAATGTTTTCCGGAGTTCGCACTGTTCGATCTCTTCCCCTTGCAGTACCAGGTCTCAACGATCTGGTTGTTTGAAATTTATTCACTCACTTCAAAATGGTATAGCGTCTTGGAACGCGACCATGCCGACCAACGTTAAAATGGTTTCGAAATCGTCGCTGTGTGAGCATAACAGAACGACCAGTTTCAATAAAAGTGTTGTAAATAAACACGCGATGTGCCACAGACCACGGCTCCATGGCTACTAAAATGGCATCGCGGAACGAGTAGATATCAATCATCGTGAAAACATTGGCTCGACTGCTGCATGTAATAGTCGTTGCAAGAACACCATACTTCATTGCCGGACCCTGTACAACATTCAATTTCTGTATTAACAATATAATTATTTTTAATCAATAATTTTTCCCCTACAGCTGAAGGGCACAAGAATAAAAATATTCGACTATTGTGCCTATCCATGTTCCCGGAGGAATCCACAAACATAATTTTGCTTGATGCACGAATATAATTATGAATTCTTTTCGTAAGTGGGGTACAAATCGCTACAGCTACATTGGTGAATGTTCAATGGCTGCACATACACTTTCACATTTAATATTATAATCTTTTATTAAATGCCCAACACTGAAGTGGGTATATGATCTGTACTATCAAATATTCAAAAGAGAATATGGTGAGCCTACAGGTGTCGAAATGATTGTGTCAATGGAAAATGCAATAAAAGATTATAATATTAAATGTGAAAGTGTATGTGCAGCCATTGAACATTCAACCAATGTAGCTGTAGCGATTTGTACCCCACTTATGAAAAGAATTCATAATTATATTCGTGCATCAAGCAAAATTATGTTTGTGGATTCCTCCGGGAACATGGATAGACACAATAGTCGAATATTTTTATTCTTGTGCCCTTCAGCTGTAGGGGAAAAATTATTGATTAAAAATAATTATATTGTTAATACAGAAATTGAATGTTGTACATGCTTTATGGGCAATAGAGGTGGATCTTGTAAACACCAATTGGCTGTTGTAACGCAATTTGGCTTAAATTCGCAGCAATTCCATCCTACTTTAATTAATAGTGACTTCAAAGAACTTTTGCATAAGGTTGTTTATGGTGTTAACTGTGAAATAGAAGGATGGTACTTAAATTTGAATGACACCAAAGCTAATGAAGTTGTCAAAATTTATAATAATTTATCAGCTATTGAGGTACCCAGTTGTAGCTCTCCAGATTTGCACAATATTGACATTAATTTTAATGATATTCCACCGATATCAACTAGTGAAAAAGATAAAATCCGTGGACAACTTGAACATTTTGTTGATTTACTTATGAACAGGTTTGAAAATAATTTTGATGAATGCAATCAAACTATTTTAAAATTTTTAAAGAATGTGGAATGCTGTAAAACAAATTCATCCCTTACAAGTGCATTGTGTACGTTTGGTAAATATAACGGGACAGGACTTCCTAAAATTAAATCAGGAAAAAATATTCAGGATGGAAATAGAATAGGCGTGCAGCCAACAGCAATAATGAGACGAAAATCAGGACTAGGGGGAAGAAATATTGCTCAAAGTGGCAGACCTCCAAAAAGGCTTCGGCTGTCAGATCATGCCTATAGTGATGATGATGATCTTTATTTCATAGCAATGAGCTAACAGAGAAAACATTTGGATATAAACTTATAAACTACAATTTTCTATTACATATTTTTTTAAATGCCTTTTGAAGTTAACAAAATTTGTAGTTTTAATTTCTTCTGGAATCCTATTAAAATCTACAAGGCCCTTATAAAATAAGCTGTTTTGGGCAAAGGAAGATTGTACCCGAGACACATAAAAGTTGGAATTAGATCTAACATTATAACTATGTATATTGCTGACCATTTTTAATTTATTAATAATATGCTCTGGGTACATTCTATTCCTTATTTTGTATACTACCACCATAGTGTTATAAAAGATCTCCTGGCTTACACTTAATAAATTTGTAGATGTCAGCTTGTCTTTAATTCTACCGTATCTTCCCCATCCCAAAATACTTCTCAATGCCTGGTTTTGTTTTTTTTTGAATAATATCAATATCACCTTTCTTAAACATATACAAGATTGTTGCACAGTAACTGAAATGTGGTGGGATTATCGTCTTATATATAATTAATTTAGCCCAGACACTCAGGTCTTTCCCCATTCTACATAATAAATTCACTTTCTTTGATAGCTTTTTGGTTATATAAATTGCATGTTTTGAAAACGTTAAATTTCCATCTATAATTATTCCTAAATATTTACATTCATCAACTTGATCTAGTCTACTACCATTAATTACTACACCTTTGTTATTGTATGTGTTAGTTACATTATGCTTAGATTTCAATATCATACATTGAGTTTTATTTACATTCACACTTAAACTATTATTGTTCAACCATTTATATATATTATTTAAATCTTCATTTAAAAAGTTTATTATATAATCCACTGAATCACCCTTAACAAAAATCATAGTGTCATCTGCAAAGAGTTGAATTTCACACTTCTTAATTATATTAACAATGTCATTTATGTACAACAAAAACAATTCTGGGCCCAGCACAGTACCCTGTAGAACACCATGTACATTGATCTTAGATTCAGATAATGATTCTAAATATTTGGTTTTTTGAGATCTCATTTCCAAGTATTGTGAAAACCAACCTAGGACTTTACCTTGAAAGCCATACCTTTGTAACTTCCCAATTAGTAATTCTTTGTTAACAGTTTCAAATGCTCTGCGAAAGTCCAAGAAAACCACGCCCACCATTGTTTTGTTGTCTAATGAAGATTTCCAGTTAGATATCACTGACTGTAGAGCACTTTCACATGAGTGACCACTTTGGAAACCTGCTTGACAGTTTGTAATAATATTGCTTGCACTCACATAATCTCGAACCTGGATATTAACTGCCGTTTCTAGAAGTTTTTCATATGCTGGTACCATATTAATTGGTTTATGTTCTTCACCCTGAATAGTTCCACTTTTTCCATGGGAATAATAGTTGACATTTTCCATTCACTTGGAAATGACTCAGTTTGTAAGCTTTGGTTTATTACATCCAAGAAACGATTGCCAATGGCTTCAAATGAGAGCTTCAATATCTTTGTGTTTATTCCATCAGTGCTACTTTTTTTGTTTTTCAGATCATTCACAATTTTCCTAAGTTCTGATATCTGTAATATCTTGAACACTGTGAATTTTTTAGATGGTGTTACTGTACTGTCAAGCATTCTGTCACATTCTGTTGGATCAGGTATAGTACTTAGCTCATTTATGCTCTCTATATAGAAGTGATTGAAACTATTGGCGATTTCGTGACTGTCTGTTATCAGTTTGCCATCAAACATGATACCATCTATTGCCTTAAACTTGCTCCTAGAACCAATTATACTCTTCAAGGTTTTCCACATTTCTCTAGAGTCTCCTCTCGATTCATCAATTTTTTCTTGGTAAAAGTATCTCTTTTGTTCTCTTATTTTTTTAACTGCTAAATTTCTTTGCTATATACTATTCGTCATTGTCTGTCAGAGCGGTCCGTAGGACCTTTGCTCTTGGTTGAAGTCTTGTAAGTCAGTAGGTCTGTCAGGTCTGGTTGCCCAGATACCAAACAAAGTCAGGGAGAAAGAAGGGAAGAAGAAAGGAAGGAAGGAAGGAGGGAGAGCAAAGAAAAAAGAAGTGCATCAATTTGAGGGGTGCCTTGGCATTGCTAGTTAGTATTCGGCAATTTTAAATTGATCCTAAAATTAATTTTGGGATTGGTTGTTGAAGAAAAATTATAATTTTGGTTGGACCTAAAGTCGCACGATTTAATTTTGTTCACAGTGCGAGTCGCGGCCTTGTGTGCTTGCGAACTTGCTCGACTGTGTAGTCTACTTACTCGCGCAACAAAGGGTCTCTGTGAAGGGTCTCGTTGGAAACATACCATGGGGCGTTAGTGATTGTACGCAAGGTTCTGTTCTGCAAAACCTGCAGGCTACGCAAATGCGTTTTGGCGAGAAAACACCAAGCCGCACTTGCGTAAGTGATCGCTGGTCTAATAACCATCTTGTATAGTCGAACTTTGTTGATCAAACTTAATTTTGATGTTCTACATAGCATAGGGTAGAGTTGCCGAAACGAGATTTGGAATTTAGTTTTTAACTCTTCAGTGTGCTTCTGTCAGGTTATCCCCTTGTCAAGAGTGATACCGAGATACTTAGCAGAGCTTTCCCATGGTACCTGAGCGCCATTCACTGAAACCTCAGACGGGGCGCCGCTACGTTTTTTAGTACAATAGATTGCCTGCGTTTTCGAATGATTAATTTTGATCAGCCACCGATTCGCCCATTCCAATACCTCGTCCACTGCACTTTGCAGCCTGTCGTGAACTAGATCCCCAGAGCACGACTGGGCCACCAGCATAGAGATAGGTTTCACAGCTGCTGGGGCAAGGGACGTCATGAATAAAAAGTGAATAAAGGACTGGTCCAAGAACCGAACCCTGAGGGACACCGGCTTTGATGGGCCGTGTTGTCGACAGAACGTTATTAATTTTGATCCGAAATTTCCTACCCTCGAGAAAGGATTTCAAAAGTTTTAGGAGCCAGAAGGGGAAGCCCTTATGGATCAATTTGTAGAGAAGGCCCTTGTGCCACACCTTGTCAAATGCCTTTGAGACATCCAGTACCAAGATGCCAGTACTTTCATTACGGGTGAACCCGCTGGTTACTCGTTCAACAAGCCTTATGGCCTGTAGCTCCGTACTATGCTCAGACCGAAAGAGAAATTGCACGTCAGGAATCACATTGTGGTCTGCCGAGAAATTTTCAAGGTGACGTAGAATCACCTTTTCAGCGAGCTTAGAAGGAGCTGACAGTAGACTAATGGGGCGGTAATCCTGAGGGAATATCGAACCCACCTTCTTTGGAATCATGATGACATCAGCGGTCTTCCACGCCGTTGGGAAGTGCTGGGTCCTTAGCATGGCATTGATTATTGGCACGAGATAAGTTAAGGACTTCCGCGAAAGTAGCTTCAGCGCCTTATTAGTGATTCGATCCTCTCCAGGTGCTTTACGCACCTTGAGGTCTTTAATATGACCTTGGAGCTCTGCTGGTGAGCAATGCGGAATCTCAGGAGATCTCGCTGATGTGCCGTGCAGCTCTTCAATTGAGGAATCATCTGAAGATTCCTCTGAGGAAAAATCACTAAGGGAGGCACTACTGCCACTGACGCCGTTGGCCCTAAAATATCTCCTGACGGATGTTACAATATGTTGCTCCTCGTCGAGGTCATTATCAAGGTCATAGTTGGGAGAGAACTGACTTTCCATTGCATCAGCGAAAACCTCGACCCTTTCCTCTGTTCTACAGACTATGGACCGTGGATGTGCGGGAGTTGTTCTCGCTTTCCGTTTCTGAGCGACTTTGCAACTTTCCAGAGAGGAATACTTGAGTCAAGTATCCCCGACAGAAAGTCGCTCCATTGCTCATTACGGAATTCATGAAGAGCATTTCTCACTTCATGAACAAGATTAGTTGCTCTGTGAATGTCATCTGGGTGACAAGACCTATTCGCTTGATTAATTGCAGCTCTTTTGTCAGAAATTTTCTGACGAATGTCTGCAGGGAGAAATGATCTGCCGTGTCGTCGTACTGGTAGTACAGCTGCACGCTGCAGAGCTTGCTGAACGGAACTTGTCCACTCCGCTTGAGCAGCATCTATATCGTTCTCATCATCTATGATCGGGATATTGGGGAACTCTCTAAGGAGCGACTTGTATAGCTCCCAATCAACCCTTTTCCTTGGAAGAGTTTCCCCTTCCAAGGTTTGCTCGTTACCCACTTCCAGTACGATAGGAAGATGATCACTCGAAATGTCATACATGATTCGAGAAGTGACACTGAATCTACAGTTTCTAGATATCGCGAAGTCAATGACATCTGGTGCCTGAAGGTGATTAAATGGGTGGTGAGTCGGCTCCTCAGTGCTGTGTATGAGGTAGCCGTTTCGTATCACATGGTTGTAAAGTCGAATCCCACTGGTGGAATTTAACCTAGAGTGCCATGCTCGATGTTTACAGTTAAAGTCCCCTGCTACAATAAGCGGACCCGAGCAGTCAAACAGGACTTCCAGATCCGTCTCTTGCAGCCTGGCACCACATCTGACATAAACCGATGTGATTTTCAACGAGATATCTCCCGTCATATTCACTACCACCGAAGTTGCCTCGATGCTCTGCATCTCAGCGTTTGTGCTTCTGTAATAGTCAATACTACGTTTTACTAGCACTGCCAAACCGCCACCCCGTCCATTTAATCTATCAGCGCGGATAACATCATAATTCGGGAAAGCTAGACGATCTCCCGGATTAAGCAATGTTTCCTGCAGCAGAGCTACAGCGACGTTCTCATCCAAAAGAGCTTGATGAAATTCCCGTTTTTTGGGGACATCCCTAAGACCCAAACAATTCCAGAAAAGAATTTTGATGAATTCAGGCTGTCTGCTATTGTACCTAGCCACTTAGCGGAAAGATCGCCTGCAATGCCTTAGTGGCGCTTATCAGGGGACTAATAATCTGCTGTAGGGACCTGAGCGCTGTAGCTAGATCCACATTTTGAGTAGTCGTAGATGAGCTCGAAAC